TTCACGAAGGTTCTTCACACTCACACATCTCATTTCAAATAATACCAATCACTGAAAGGGCCTTTATTTTGAAGAGTGTCAATTACTTACCTGATGGCTAAATCTGTCACATTTGAAATGTTTAACAATGGCCAGTTTCTGTGCAGACAGATAGGAGTCTTATCGAGTAGTACGGGAATAAAACAAAAACTAAATAAACTCCAATACTTATATAAACTTTAATAATAATAAATTATTACAGCTATTGAGTTTTCTGCTTTGACTCCATGCTAAAAGAGTAATGAACTGAATTGACCTGTTCTGAATGTGTATATGTTTTCCACATGAACAAAACAGTTTTGTCTTTCTGTTCACAGCAATGACTGTTACTGTAATACATTGTATTGATGTGGAAATGATGTACAGATACAATTACAATTACATTCAGTTTAGAATTAGAGTCTAACGGTCCCTATCAGGTTTGTCCATCTGCTGACCTCTTGTAGGTCCTCCAATCTCTCAAAAACATCTCACCATGTCAGGCATGTCATTATGAGCGAGTGCTTCAGTAAAGTAGGGTTGAATGGAATGGAATGGAAAAGCTTGTAATGCTGAACATTTTACATTTTGACTATGTCAAATTAATGGTTTATTTTCTCAGATTTTGACTGATTATGTCAAATTAATGGTTTATTTCTCAGACTGTGACTGATTATGTCAAAATAATGGTTTATTTTCTCAGATTTTGACTGATTATGTCAAATTAATGGTTTATTTTATCAATATTGTGACTGATTAAGTCAAATTAATGATTTATTTTCTCAGATTTTGACTATGTCAAAATAATGGTTTATTTTCTCAGATTGTGACTGATTATGTCAAATTAATGGTTTATTTCTCAGATTGTGACTGATTATGTCAAAATAATGATTTATTTTCTCAGATTTTGACCATGTCAAAATAATGGTTTATTTTCTCAGATTGTGACTGATTATGTCAAAATAATGGTTTATTTTCTCAGATTGTGACTGATTATGTCAAAATAATGGTTTATTTTCTCAGATTGTGACTGATTATGTCAAAATAATAGTTTATTTTCTCAGATTTTGACTATGTCAAAATAATAGTTTATTTTCTCAGATTGTGACTGATTATGTCAAAATAATGGTTTATTTCTCAGATTGTGACTGATTATGTCAAATTAATGGTTTATTTCTCAGATTGTGACTGATTATGTCAAAATAATAGTTTATTTTCTCAGATTGTGACTGATTATGTCAAAATAATGGTTTATTTATCAGATTGTGACTATGTCAAAATAATGGTTTATTTCTCAGATTGTGACTATGTCAAATTAATGGTTTATTTCTCAGATTGTGACTATGTCAAATTAATGGTTTATTTTATCAATATTGTGACTGATTAGGTCAAATTAATGATTTATTTTTTCAAGATTTTGACTATGTAGAAATTGTGGCTTATTTTCTTGAAATTTTGACTGATTATGTTGAAACAATCTTATTTGCAACAGGACATGTCTATAATGTTATGTGGCCTATGTCCAGTTACACCCCATATCAAACATATCATGACTGTCCAATGAAAAACATGTATCTCCATTTTTTTTACAATTTTTACTTTTCTGCATCATTTGAGCTCAGCAGCTGTCCTTTACATTGTGTGAAAATTTCATGATGATTGGACCAATAGAAATGCTCCAAAATTAGAATAAAATCTCTTTCCATTAACTTACATTGAAAGTAAAGACGGTTTTTGCCCTCTCCCGTGAAGTTACTATTTTGGAAGTACTTGTTTTTCTTTGGATATCGACGATATGCATGTACAAATGACTGTAGCTGACTAATGTTTGACAGTCAACACATTTTTGCATCAGGAACCCACCCTGACAGTGGGTTTGCATGGAAGAAATACATGTAAATAAATAATTAGGCCTATTTTTATCAATATTGATGGAATCTAATGCAGCAGATTGTGACCAGTGTTCTGTAATCTAATTATACTGTGATAAGACAGAGCTGTATTCAGTAACAGCGTGTAATTAGTATCCACTGAGTCTATTCACGTCACGCTCAGCGAGGTTGTGTGTGTGTCCAAGGCAGAAGGTTCCTTTTGAAAAGTGATAAAATGTGCTTGAATAGAAGGCCTTATTAATACACAAGCACTGATGACAGCTTTATTCAAACAGTGATATTTATTTGTACAGTAATTACAAATGATAGCCTGCTGAACTGAAATCATGTCTTTCATGTAGTGATTTTAAAGCAATTTCCAAGCAAAAATGCTTCTGTGGACACACTGCAATTAATGTGAAGGCTAAACAGGCTCGAAACAATTTCTCAGGGTAAGATTTGTACATTTCCCAGGAATTTGACTCAAACTCAAAACGAAGTGGAAATTTTGGATTTTTTCAAACTTTAGGCATAATTCAAGCCAGAGTGGTGGGATAGAAACCAGTCATCTGAAGAGTGTAATGCCTCTAAAAGCTCCCTCACAGAAAGCTATTATATGAAATGGTTAAGAATATACTGCGTGACGCCTGAGACACTGTTTTACAGTAGTTTACGTATAATATTTTAGACTAAAAGGATTTGTAACAGCGGAGAAATACAAGGCAAAATGGTCCCCAAAAGAAAACTTATTTTTTTCAGAATTACCACTATTTTACCATCATCAACATATAAACACTCAGAAGACACGGGTTCACTGGTCATTTTGGATAGTAAACAAAAAGGCCACATTTGTGTTGTCGACATGGCGACCCCTGGTCCCTATCACCACCACTGTAAAGAAATCTGAGTTGGTATGTTTCTCTACAATAAACCATTTCACACCAAACCACCCTGAATGCCTCTGCTTACATCTCAGTGAATGAATTATGCATGATGTTTGAATAATCATTGTAATTCCCCATTAAAGTGGTTTAATGAAGAATTCCATGTGAAATTGTGAAAACCATATTGTTGCATTGGTCAGAATGACCTATACAATGGGCCCTGTGGAAGACCATTCATTATTTTATTTTTATTGTACTTTTTATGTGAAGGTGGCTCACATGACTTCGCCATGATATACACTTGTAGCTCCAAACAACTTCCTAAATGGTCCACAAGAAGGTCACCTGTTCAGGTATGTTCAGTATTTGCATAATTGACACCCCAAAATACCAAAAAACAAAAGCTAAACAATATGGGATCCCTAAGTAATTCTGCAGTTGCTGATATTACATTGATAATATCATACACAAGATTGAATTTAGATTCATGTTAACATCACATAAGCACATTTTAATTATATTTGAATTTGGAGTAAAAAGTCAAATAACCAAACGTCAAGATTTTAGATCACAATGGCTAATTTAAACACTTGTATGCAAAGATTTGACAGGCATCAAATGATCTTTTGCTGATTTTCTGTGTGAAAATAAGTTTTCTACAGCAGGGGGTCTGTTTTTCATGCCAGGCCCCTCGTATAGAGGTAGTGTTTGCCCTGCAGCCCACCCAACATTCTGTGAAGAGAAATGAGGCAAACATTTCAAAGAAAAAAACACATATAAGCCTATACTGATTAGAATTTTTAGTTGGTCTTATTTAAATATGATGTCCCTGCTAATCCATGTTGTCAGCTAGTTTATAAGGCCGGGCAGCACTGCACTCTGATTATCGCTGATTAATTAGGCTAATTCATGCTTGTTTTGATGCGGCACGGTGGCAACATGGATTATTATTTAGAGTATGTTGTCTTTTTTTCTAGAGGCGGGGGGCACTCATTTGACCCACTTGGTCCCACACTGTGACCCACCAACTGGTGGCAACCCCAATTTGAAAACCACTGCGCCACACTTAAAAATGGTCAGTTTTTGTGCCCAGTTCGTATTTATTGAGGGAATAAAACATAAAATATAAAAAGTGCCACATTTTGCAAGGATGCGTCAACTTATTTTCATTGAAAAAATCAACAAAACGTCATTTGACTGGGGAGCCCAAATTTTTGCATATGACAAAGAATGGCAGATTCATCGTATATATCAGAAAACTGTTCTCTCAAATCAGCAGATTGAGAATGAGTGTGTTTGTACGACTGGTTCTTTCATCAAACCTATTGGCCTTAAATGCGCAATTCTTATATGATGTAGTTTATAAGACATTAAATAAGTTAAATTAACCTCAAATAAATGGAAAGGAAAAATATATAACTGACAAAACTAACAAATCTGTAGGCACCGACATGAATACCTAATTAACAGTATCTACGCTCTCACATGCAGCGTTGCGTCGAGAAGCTGTTCTCTGATCCCGTCATGTCTGATTCTCCGAACTGCACTCTAATAAAGAGGGGCTTCACGGAGGTTTGCTGCGAAGAGGTAATTACAGGGCCTCACAAAGCACCGGCGGTGGCATTTAACAATAAGTAAAGACCAATACATGCAGTTTCAGTGCACTCATAATACATCTCTATATAATACACTTATTATTTATAATTGCAAGACAAAGGGAGGTGTGAAGTTTCAAATAGTGCAATCGACTTGGCACGACATGGAAAACACTGCAACTTGACTTAAGCCAATTTCTATGACAAGACAAAGACACCAAAAGATCACATAAAAGGATGATTATGTTTTTACATAATGTAGGAGTTAAACACAATAACTGAATACGAACATCCTCCTGGGTTGGATTAAAGAAAAGCTTGAATGGAATGGACTTGGTCTTTTGTATTCCGACTATTCCTGGACGCTTCATTTCTGGATGAATTTGCGCTTCTCGGAACTGCTGAACACTCAAAGGAATTGCACTTAGCTGACCGCCATCTTTGTCCTTCCCACAAAAATAATGCTTGATGGATGCTCCATTGAAGAGTGACCAAGCGTGGCATAGCAATGTCAGTGCGGGAACTCTACTATACAAACATTACAGTTCCTTTGGCTCCGTCTCCATTTCCAGTGTTCCACAGGATTCATCTCTTCGACCCAAACCTGCTTCAGGCCGGGCCTTTATCTCGGCTCACTCCAGGATGTCCAAGTAGACCGGAGGGTTCTTGACCAAGGCCACCAGGCGGCTGTAGATGTCCTTGATGACGAGGCGCTGCTGCGGCTCCCTCTGCCAGCAGCCTTGCATGAGGAGGTGAACCTCTTTGGGACACGTCCGCGGCCTCTCCAGCTCTCTGCCCTGCGTGATGCACTCGATTGCCTGCAGAGGAGCCCAAGCTTTAGTGCTAAATAAACCACAGGATTACTTTAAAACATACAACAGTAGTAAAACAGCTGGAAATGCCTAATCAGATGTATGCTATTCCTTATCATCAGTGAATTCCACCAATTAAAACCAAATAATTCAATGTTTAAGATGTTAACATCGTTATTCAGAGTGGTTTGATGTGTAGAATGTGTCATTCTAGAGAAACTCAGTCAGGTTTGGTCACAGTGGTAATGATAGGAACTAGACGTCCGACATGTTCAATCCCTCTTAAGGCATTTACTTGTGTGATTTATACAGACCATGATAAATTAATTCGAGCATGTGTATTACAGTTAATATCTTGTGGTTTCTTGGATGGTGAAAGTGCAACGTTATTTTATTCGCCCTCTTTTCAACTCTTCCAAACTTTCACCTTCAACATGAACTCACTGACCAATCACGGTTGTCTCTGATGTTGATTTGGCATCAACCCACATGATGGATCAGTTGCGTCCAAGCAACTAGAACTTTCTTGCTAAAATGAAGCTCAAATTGAGATACAAACATCAGAACCGAATGTGGAAGCAGCTTCTTAATGAACCCATGAGGCTCTTCACACCACTTTTCTAAAATGGAGAGTAGTCCAGTGTCAGCGTTTCCTCGCTCTGTCAGGAGCAAAGGAGGTCTTATTTGCACTGGAATATCTTATTTGCAGCCCATTCGTTTTGTGCTTCATCTCTTGTGGAGCTGCATCTCCATAATCAACGCAAATTGAGTTAAGGAGATCTGAACTACATGGAAGCACAAAGTTTAAGCTCTGGAACGAAGTGGAGAGAACTCTCTGTTCTCCTTTCGCTCTTACTAGAAGGCATCCTGCACAGTGCCACAGTTTGCCTGTTTTGTGAGAAGCCAAGAACATTTTGTTAGAGATTCTGCCTGTGTATTTTTATCACGGTGGAACAACATGACAAAATTCCCCAAAAAATGTGTTGCATCTGGTCTGTATAGTTTTGATGTGAAAAAAAGGTTAGAATATTTCACATTTTCATTTATTTGCATCACATTCAGTGGGTAACAACCTTGAAAGTTGTGCAAAAAAGTTATTACAAAAAATGGTTATATATGCACTGCCTGATGAGTCATTGTTATATGACAGTCTAAAGCAAAGATTTTGGCCTAAAATATATTTTTAAAATGCCTGCATTGGTGGAGAGGTACAGGGCATCGTAAGGCAAAATAGTCCCCAAAGAAAACATATTTTATTATTATCAGCGTTACGTATAAAAACTCAAAAGGCACATGTAGATTCACTGGTGCTTTTGGATAGTAAATAAAATGGCTATATTAGTATTGTAGTCATGGTGACCCCTGGTTCCTATCACCACCACTGTGAAGAACTCTGAGTAGGTAAGTTTGCCTACAATGAAGCATTTCACATCAAACCACTCTCAATCTCAATGACTGATTTATGCAAAAAATTTGAAAGCTTGAAATGAGTTTCTGAGACAAATTTAAATGAAGTGGTCACCTTAGAACACATTTATATCCAAAATAAAAACTCTTCTATTTTAATTGCGCACCCAGCAGATAGTTTGGAACACTTGTCTAGAACTATGACGCTAATGTACACACAAAAGACAGTCCTTCAAGGTTTCTTTAGTAAAGAAAATGGTTCTATATAGAACTACAAACACTCAAAGAACCATTTGCATGATTGAAGGATTCTTTGCAAGGTGAAAGTGTTCTTCACATTGATGGAGAGTATGTTTAATATGGATCCATAGAGCACCAATAAGGGTTCCTCTGTTGTCACAGGCTTGACATTGTTACAGTAGAAGAACTCATTGTTGGTGCTATATAGAACCCTTTTCAAAAAGCAGCCATCTACGGCGCATTCTCCACCAATCTGAAAAACCATGGAACAAAGCAAAGAGTCCTTCAATCATGCAAAGGGTTCTTTGAGTGTTCATGGTTCTAAATAGAACCATTTTCTTTACTAAGGACCCTTGAAGAACCACCATTTTTAAGAGTGTAGCTAACAAGTAATGGAAGCTTATAGCCTTCCATTACAAAAATTATGTAAATGTATTTATCAAATCATTTGAAAATGTAAGAAAAAGCCAAAATACGGTGTGTGTATATATATATATATATATATATATATATATATATATATGACAAAAGCAAGTGTCAATATTGAAATAACTATTTTCACAGTATATCAATATTGAAATACATGCTGTATTGCTGTATACGTACATGATTAATGCAAAGCACAATGCAAAACACAGAAGTCAGTACTGTTTAGTTAAAACTGTGAACTTTGTTAAAACCATATACACTTGAAAAATATAATAACAATTACAAATAAATGCATGTTAAATATATTTAAAATGCATATTAAAATATATTTAACAAATAAGTTTATTTTTTGGCCATTTTCATACATTGTGGAAAAATATTTGATAAATACATTTAGAATATGTTTTTTTTCTGTATGAGGCATCCACACTTTTAAATGGTACTGCAATAAAAGGGTACACTAACAGGGGCTGCTTTTTTAAAAAACTAGCTTTTCATTAGCATTTACTCAGTCTGATGTTTGTATCTTTGGGTGAGGCCCTCCATTAATGGTGAAAGCTGAGAGTTAAAATAGCTGCAGATGCTGATTCTGGTGATTTTAAACGATATCTGCCTGCAGGGTCTGGTTTCATTTTGTGATTGGTTTTAAAGTGCATTTCACAGTGTGAGCACACACAGCCTTTGCGAAGGCTGAGTGAAAGCCTTACTTCAAAAAGCGAAGTCCATTATGGAGGTGAACAGCCTGTTGCAAGTGAGCGGGAATGCAGAAAACTTTCAAAATTACTGACCGTTTTACATAAAGCAAAGGCAGTAAAAGGTAAGAAAGCCTCACTGGTAGCGATGCCATGTTCCTATGCTGCTAAAGCACGCTCTTACAGCAATACCCCACTGTTTGTCCACCTAATCTCTGTTTACTGCATCTGTATCCACAGTTGATTACCTGTAATATGCCTCGTCCTTGTCTCTGTCTGTTCCCTCCATGCTTACATTGTCCCTGTTGTTTTTGTTTTGGCTCTCTGCCCCCTTTCTCATGTCTTGCACCTGTGTCTTGTCTATCGCCATGCCGTGCCGTTGTCCCCAGGTGTTCTTCCCTTGGATATATATACTCCATGTCTTTGTCTTGTTGTTTGCTTGGCTTTGTTGTGTGGTTGTGTTTTCCTTGTTTTGTTTTACCCACTGGATGGTGGTTCTTGTTTCCAGTTTAGTTTCTAGTTATTCTGCTTTCCTAATTTATTTTTCTTAGGGTGTGTTTATCCTTACTATTACAGAAACTTCTTAAGTCTGAAATCTTTTCTGTTTAGTCACCATGACACCTTTAGTTAGGACTGATTTAAGGACAGAAGCTTTTACAGAACAGTTATTAAGCTCATAATCTTATCCATCAACTCCAGATAAGGAAACAGTATTACAGAAACAAGCTAAGCAGACAAATTTCCTAAATTCTGTCCTAACTTTAAGACAAACCCAGAGGAATCTTAACTTGTGTCTTAACCTTCTGTTATTATTGTTTTGTGCAGCGTCAGGCAGCTCAGTTCACTATAACCAGCAGAATGACGCTTCATTTATCTACACTGAAAACGGTGATTTGACTCGAGTTTTTTCTATCAGCGTTTAAAAACCCCAGACACTGCAGACTCGATCTCCACCACCCCTCTTATTACCTTCATGTTGATAAAAACTCGTCAGATAAAGTACTACAGTGATGGTGGTGAATAATGAGGACACAGAGCTGATCGTGTGTCTGTTTATTAGGCGGAATAACGTTAGCGCGCTCGGCTAAAGCGTTTGGGAAATGAAGCTCAAAGTGGAGAGCAGTGACTCTCTGATAAGCAGCCAGAAGCGCTGACACAATATTCTTAACTTTCAGTTTTTATCGCTTTAGTTTCGTTTGACCCTTTTCACCTCAGTAACGGTAGCTAACGTTAGCTAGCTGTCTGGCTAACTAGCTAGCTTTATTATTGTGATACCGTTTTTACGTTTCAGCTGTGCGCGTATGGTCGGTTGCTAGGAAGCAGACATGATAGCTGATTGTCGACTTCGATCGAGTAAGTTAAGATTTCCTAACTTGAGATCAGATGCTGTAAGATAAATAAATTCTGATTCATACATTAAGATTTGTTTTGTAATACGAATTTGTGTAATCTTATCTTGACCTGTCAGATCTTACGACAAAAAGATTCCCTTAGTCCAGTGTCGTTGCGTTTTAGTTCTGGTTCCCTTAGTGTTCACTTCAGCAATAGAACACGGGAGGGAGTGTGTTATCGCGAAATAACATCACACATACGCGGTAACACACGGCCTCGAGTGTTCTCTTGCTTTTATACAACAGTTAAATAAATAAAGTACGAAATTAATAAACTGGGCCGTGAATGCGGCATTTAATATGTGTTAATGTTCGCAGTTCCTTCCGCCAAATTATACTTCCTTAACAAGCAGCTTGTTGCTACGTCAGAGTAACGAGCTCCGCCCACTCGCTGCACAGCCGGCAGTTCGTTCTCCAGCTCCTTACACTAAATTCCCAAACTGTCAACACCACTGAGCAGCTTATTTGTTTTTTATTGCGGCAGTTTTATGGCTCAGTCCGATTTGGTCAGACTCTGAGGATCAGAGACCGTTTGGCGAATGGTATTGGGTTCATTTCTGGCTGATTCCAGGTTGTTCAGGTTCTTCTGTCACAGCTGCCGACTGAAAAGCTGCTCAGTGGTGATGACGGTTTGGGAATTTAGTGTAGACTCATCTTCAGAGTCTGACCAAATCGGCTGTCGGTCAAATGTGATCTTAAAAGTATCCATTTTCTGTTTGTGTGCAACGTGAGAACTAAAAACGCTGAAACGGCTTGAGCATCTCCTACAGCTGTGAAACTCGTTGCTTAGCAACGGCGTCTTAGCGGAGTGATACAATGTTTGTGAAAAACCCGTGATGTTATGGCGAAATGACAGCACGGTTAGAACGCCTCTCAACCAATCAGCTTGCGTGGCCGGAACTAACTATTGTATAAACTGACATATTTAACATTGACCCAAAAGATGTAAACAAAATTCATACCAGTTGAAGGTCCCCACTGATTGGGCAGATTTAATGACACACAGTAACTGTGATAATTCTGAATCATAATGTTCTCTGTTCTATCTGGACTCGTTGGTTTATAAGTTTCACCTGTCTTGTGATATTAGAGCAGTATCCATGAGACTCCTTGCTTTATCATGGTTTTACACCACGCAAAGCTTGGTTAAATCCCCATAAGAGCCTCGAGAGGCTTACTGCTTTTACTAAATGGAGAGACCTTGACACATTAATACATAATATAAGTTATGTGTGCAGTCAAATGTGTATATGGAGTATTTTATGACTTCAAATGCATCTCTGCATCATTTTAATACTGAAACTATCTGTTCTATAGTTACATTCAGAGCTTATGAATAGATAAAACACATGCACATGTCAAAACAGGATCAGAAACTTAGTTCGGACGGCAGCGTTCTCACTTGCTCTAATGAACCTCACTAACGAAGCATGGTTCGTTTTAATCGAACCAAACCTGTCAAGTCAGAATGCATCCTTAGTGTAGTCTTCTGTGCGGTTTTCTATTGATTAGCTATAATATTAAAACTGCTTTCTTGTTTCTACAATCTGTCCATTTTATTAGTTCCACTGACCATATAGGAGCACTTTGTAGTTCTACAGTTACAGACTGTAGTCCATCTGTTTCTCTGCATACTTTGTTACCCTGTTCTTCAAAGCTCAGGACCCCCACAGGACCACCACAAAGCAGGTATTATTTGGGTGGCGCATCATTCTCAGCACTGCAGTAACACTGACGTGGTGGTGGTGTGTTGCGCCGGTATGAGTGGATCAGGCACAGCAGTGCTGCTGGAGTTTTTACTGCGAAAAATAATATCTTAACAAGTGAAAATGTCTTAAATGTAGTCAATAAATATAATATTTCTCATTATGAGATTGCTGTAAGATTATTAAAAGATTATTCCACCGGTTTCTTCACATTTTTTACACATTTTAAGTCATTTTATCTAGTGAGAGTGTCTTATTCCATTGGCATTGACTGCTGTGTCTGATCCACTTGTACCAGCACAACACATACTAACACAGTGAAACTCAGTGTCACTGAAGTGATGAGAATGATCCACCACCAAAATAATACCTGCTCTGTTGTGGTCCTGTGGGGGTCCTGACTGTTGAAGAACAGGGTAAAAGGGGGACAACAAAGTATGCAGAGAAACAGATGGACTACAGTCTGTAATTGTAGAACTACAAAGTGCACCTATATGATAAGTGGAACCGATAAAATGAGTGTATATATGAATAATGAATAATAATAGTGGGCAGTAACTTCCCTATTTTTAAGAAAAAGAACATAAACCCACTTCTAATAGAAGCCAATGGACAGTTGCTGAGGCACACTGAAAGTGCTGTCAGTGGTAATCGACTGTATGCTGCAGATTAGCTTGATAAACACTGGAATATTCTTTTAAATGTGTATAAGAGTTCTTCTTCAAATGGACACCGCCCTATGGAATATCGTTTAACAGACTGGAGTATTTCTCAGACACCACTAGTGCATTGATCACTGTCATGAACTGATAAGAAAAGCTCTCTCTCTCCATGGCCACTGGTCATCCATTAAACAGCCAGTGACTCCAACCCCTGTAGGCATTGTCTTCCACCTAAATGAATGGTGTAGTAATCTCCTGTCATTGCTTCACTACATCATGCTGAAATGGCCTATCAATCACTCTCATGAATTAACAAAGATTCACATTGACCCTTTCCGAAATTCTCCCAGCCTTTCCAACGCCAGGAGGAAAGTCATGGCCAATCTGTCTATGACCTATACAATTAGTCTCCCCATAATTAGCCCTGTCCATTACAAGCCGGCGAGGATTAGGTTAACGAGGTTAAACAACGTCGGCCCAGGGCGAAGATGAGGCCTAATCGGGTTAAAATTGAGTAGATAGGAAAAGTGATCTACCCTGCTCTTGAAAGAGGAGAGGCTTCTCTCCCTTAATGGCGCAGTTGCGGTCACACCCAGAGTCCACTTCTCGGTCCTTAATCTGAAAGGTCTGGACCACTTATAGTACCTATAAATCTATTGATCCCTCTATCATAAGTGCATAAAAGCACAAACTGATCTCTTTCAAAGAGAATGTTTACAGCTTACATCACTGTCAGAGTGGTGTTGCTTTGTGCCCTGTTTAAACACAGTTCTACAGAATATTCTCCAAACCCAAATTTGACATCATTTTCAGATATTTCTCAAGTTTGGACCGAGCTCCCACCTTTAAACCTTACTATTCTTCTTCTTACTCATATTGCTTATTTTTTTCAAATATAGTATGCTGTAGTTACTCATGTTGTTGAAGCAAGGTCCACCAAGGTCTACAAGACCAGCATGAAAACGATGCATTGTGTAGATTATCCACAATAAAAATGATTGGAAAGTTATTTAAAGGCAGTGACTGATCTAAATTAGGAAATAATTAGAATTTGAATTTAATTTTGGATAACTGATATTTAGGCTTTTTAAAAATTTGATAATTATCTTTTTTTGCTAAGAAATGATGTGGTGACAGCTGTAATTGTCGCTAAGTTTCTCTGGCTACAGTCGGGTTTAGATAGAATTCTGTTGAACTATATAAAGACAGAATTTTATTGAGCTATATTCAGGTTCAGAATTTTATCGAGCTGTATTTAGATTCAGACATAATTTTATCAAGCTATATTCGGGTTCAGAATGAATTTTATTGAGCTCTATTTAGATTCAGACAATTTTATTGAGCTATATTCGGGTTCAGACAGAACTTTATTAAGCTGTATTCAGGTTCAGATGGAATTTTATCGAGCTATATTCGGGTTCAGACAGAACTTTATCAAGCTATATTCAGGTTCAGACAGAATTTTATTGAGCTGTATTTAGATTCAGACAGAATTTTATTGAGCTGTATTTAGATTCAGACATAATTTTATTGAGCTATATTCGGGTTCAGACAGAACTTTATCAAGCTATATTCAGGTTCAGACAGAATTTTATTGAGCTGTATTTAGATTCAGACAGAATTTTATTGAGCTATATTCGGGTTCAGACAGAACTTTATCAAGCTGTATTCAGGTTCAGAATTACATTAAGCTATATTCAGGTTCAGATGAAATTTCATCGAGCTATATTTGGGTTCAGAATTTTATTAAGCTATATTCGGGTTCAGACAGAATACTGTCAGGATGCAGTCAAGTTCAGACAATTTTGCTGAGCTACAGAGGTGGGTTCAGATAGAATTTTGTTGGGCTATAGTTGAGTTCAGACATAATTTGGTTGGGCTATATTCAGGTCCAGATAAAAATATGCTGGGCTACATTTGGTTCAGCCAAATTTTGTTCAGCCAAATTAAGGTTTAGACAGAATTCAGGGCGACATTTGGGTTTTGATTCAAACTCAGATTCAGGCCACATGTTTTCAGGATTTTCTGTGTACAAACACTAATATTTAAAACTGTAGATTTAAATATTAGAAACTAGCCATCAAAGGGTTTTTTAATATCATTTTCTGCAGTATTTTAGGTATTGTTCAGATAACAAAAAGTTATAAATGACAAATAATAGATAATGAAACTATCTGTTTACAGTAAGTTATGTTCCTTGTGATTTGATCACCACTCTTCAAAAACTCTCACTGTTCACTCTCAGTGTTATACAGTGTATATAACTTTCTCAGTAAGTTTAGAATCATCTACAGCTCAGTTCATCATGCTGGACGCATTTTACATTTTTTTCATATTTACAGCTTTCTACAAAAGATTTGTAACTTATGAAGTTGCACAAGACTAGCATAGTAGATTTGTTTTACAAATTTATGCATAAACAATTTTTTGAACACTAGTGTAAATAACACTTTTCAACAGTTGTGTAAATAATTTCATATCCTCAATTTTGAAGTCTTTACTGTGATGATATCACTATGAAATCTGCACAAACAAGGAAACTTTGTTTCTTTCCTCTCAGATATTTGCATGTTGTAAGACCAGTGTTTATGTAGGCCATGAGGGTGGTGTACCTCACTGTTGGACAACTGGTACCAAGGCTGTTTGCCATATGTGAAGATTTCCCAAAGTACAACCCCAAAGCTCCAGATATCACTCTCTGTGGTGAACTTTCTGTACATGATGCTTTCAGGTGGCATCCAACGAATAGGTAACATGGTTCTGCCTCCAACCTGAGAAAGAGAGAGAGGTGGAGAAAAAGAGAGAGAGAGATACAGAGTTTTAAAAGCCATATTTAAGGACGCTTGAGGCCACCTACAGTAGCAGTCAAAATTTTGGACAGCTGATTAAAAGTATGTTTTTCATAATCTTAAAGACATTTATTCTAATGGCCTCTGCTTAAAAATAATTCCTAAAACGGTTGGCATAGCATAATGAGTAACAGCAAACACCCCATGCTGTATAGGAGTCCTTGGGCAAGACTCCTAACCCTACATTTGCCCACCTCCGTTACATTGTTAAGTTGCTCTGGATGAGAGCATCTGCCAAGTAGTATAAAAACCATATATATGTACGATTTTTTTCCCAAATCAAAACTAACATCTTAGGTGGCTCCTCATGAAGCTTCTTGACAGAATGCCAAGAGCGGCAGCGAGGCAAAGAGGCGCCACTTTAAAAAATCAAAAATTTTTTCACTGCATATGTCAAATACGTGCAATTGCATAATTTTGATATCCTCATTACTATATTATACTGTGTAAAAATAGTTGTGTCCAGACTTTTGACTGGTTCTGTACATCAACAACCCACAGATTTCACCCAATTCTGGCCAGGCAATAAATATTTCTAGCAATTTGAACCAACCCTGTAGTAATCAGTGCTGTAGATGTCTCTGGACATTCCAAAGTCTCCAATCTTGACCATGAGACCTTCCCCGACCAGGCAGTTCCTGGTGGCTAGGTCCCTGTGCACGAAAGTGGAGCGAGGCCAGATACACCATGCCCGAGGCAATCTGGGCAGCTATCTGGAGCATCTGTGGCAGAGTCAGCTGACCCATTGGGGGCATCTTAACCTCGTCCAGGATCCGAGCGTCTGGACCATGAGCCCTGTGCAAAAAGGAGAAGTTCATCAGATCAGGCCACATGGATAAACGTCCAAAAGGCTGCACAATAGATTGTCTGTATTGCAGTATTGGCAATACCAATATAACAGGACCCCTCCTTCTGAAATTGGTTATTGTGTGCTGTGAGCATCCAGACTAATAACAGACATTTCTCCTGAGGTTCGAAGGATGTTAATCATGATCACACAATATGAACAGAACCAATATCATAGCAATATGATATCTGTCCATACAGTACAGCTAAGGCATATATTAAGGCCCAGTTTTAAAATCTATTCTCTTTATTGCAATGATGATTTGAAGACATGACTGACTGCAGTTATACAGCTATAACAAGAATTTCGTCTTTCTAGTAGAAATGTTAGCTTTCTGCTATGATTCTGCATTTGCCAGCAAGTGAAAAAAAACTTTTCAGATAGCCTGTCCCCAAAAATTCACCTCAAAGCAGTTGCAGCTTTAAAGTTAAAAAGTTTCTCCCACATTCAAGATAGATGAGAAGGAGGTTTCCTAGTCTTTTGAATTGAAAAAACGTGCTGTGCTACTGCAGCACCACTGTAGGATGTGAGTGAGCACGTCTCCAACAGAGATGGTTAAAGTTTGCTTTAGGGGTAGAAGGGGTTAAATGATCAGTATGTGAAATTAACCGAAGATTGGACACTGATTCTTAGGCCCAATTTCATTTCACCCCTTGCCGCTGTCTCTTAGCCCTTACCCCTCCGTTTTGTGCGTTCACGCCTAGGAGTCCTGATTTTTGTTGAGATAGAGGGGTAGGGTGAAGTGTTAGGGCTACATGACCCTCCAAACAGAGGTTTTTCAGAGTCACACACCTCAGGCGTCAGAACTGCTGCACCATTTAAGGTGGAATGGGAAAATTAGAACAACAAGCTAAAGAATAGCTGACTTCAGCTTCATATCACTGAACAATTAGGGGTCGGTAATAATAAATAACTGTCGTATCCCCCTCTCTTTGAGACATATGATTCCCTACATTTAACTAAAGCCCAGAAGTGAGGAGCTGAACTTTACCCTCCTTTGCTTTCACTGCAGACTGGCTGGTCGCCTACAGAGCAGCGCTAGTAGCCTCTTACTGAAGTAATGCTCTGTTTTATTTGATGGTCCCATTTCGTAGGGAAAGATTTCAACCACTAACCCTTGTAACTCAGGTCCAAGAGGTAAGATGTCACTCAAAAACAAGGGGTAGGGGTATAAATAAGAAATGGTGTTGGGCCTTAAAGTCAGCATCTGCAGCATCTGCTTATGATACGATATACTGCACATATGATCATGTTATCAGATTTTAGGGACTGGAGTACACACACTGTCCACTTTATTAGAACGTCTTACCATGTACTTCCACTCTCTGGTCATTTTATGAGCTCCACCTACCTTATAGATCCACTATGTAGGTGTACAGTTAAAGACTGTGTTTGTTATAGTCCCCCTCTGCCCCAGAATACCCCTGTGGTCACAAACCGACCATAGATGAAGGGCTAGAGGATGGATAACATAAACTGTGCAACAACAGATGGACTACAGGCTCTTAACTTTATACCAGCAAGGTGGGGCTAAAAGGGAGGGGTTTCTAATGAAGTGGTCAGGCAATGAAAGTTCAGAGAATGGTTTGACTGTCAAGCCTGAATAGCAGTGGCACAGAGGAACCATGTCAGCCAGGAAGCGCTCCATCAGCTGGCAGATTCTCCACAACTATGACCATGCGTGCAACGTCTGACTATTCATATATCGCAATCCATCAAGTTTAGGAAGTAAACAAGCTCTTCCCAAACAATCCCCTACTTTGGCTTCCATTCTCTAATGTCATAAAGTCGCTCTTGTCATGTGCAGGCTCCAGAGCGCAAAGCCCCTCTCCATTCATCCTAATATTTGCGCCTATCCACTCTGTCACTCGCTGGCCTTTTCCATGCTGTTGAGAGGTTCCCAGTGTGATTACTATTAGTTTATCAGGCAGGTGGCAGGAGAGCAGCAGCTGCTGCTCAGACTGGAGACTCCATCCATAGACTATCTACTGGAAATGTGATTTCCACTCCCAATCTGGCCTCCCCACCACCTGGCGGACCGGCTCCTTGCGCACTGGACATGTCACTGAGACTCCACTCTGCTGGACATATGGTCTCTTTTCACGTCGTCCAGCAGGCTTACAGTTTGGAGAACTTTTCATCATCTTTAAGAGACGAGGACAGCTTCAGTATACAGTGGCCTACACATAGGGGTATGGTTTTGGACAGAGATTCACAGAAAATGTGGATCAAAAATCAGGGGGAAAAGAATCTGATTCTGTAACAAATCTAGCCTAAAATGTATCACTTTGCGTGTAGCACAAAATAACCTAAAGCAAAGTAAAGATCATGTGAAAACAACAGCAGCCACAGTAGACTAATGTTAGCATAAGACTAACCTCTAGATGGCTATTACGCATATATATTTCATGCTAAAGGAAAAGAAATGCATTACATGATGCTACCAAGCTGGGAAGGTGAAGGCTAGCATGAGCTTCCTCCAGGACACCTGAAGCACCACCACATCTTTTCAAATTGCCACTAACGCTACATCACTGGTAAGCTCAACATGCATGGAGGAGAACACTAACTGCCAATTTTGTTATGTCAGCTAACAGACTTTAGCTAGCGATGTGCTGAGTGATGAGGGTGGGGCATGGAGAGCCATCCAACACACCCAAAGTAGAGGTCTTAGTGGTAGTGGTTTTTCAGTCCCGCTCCCACAAGATTTCATCCCGCTTGTGTAGAAAATCGGAGTAATTTATCCCGCTCCCGCCCGCAACTGAAACATTTTGGCTTGCTCTTTAGTCCCGCGCCGTGAGATATTGTAGTGCAGATCTTTAACCCAGGGTGAGCGAGGGCAGTGCTCTTTGGGACAGATGGCTGTGGCATCATCAGGGACTGAACTTGCACTCTCATAACTATAGGGCTAATCAGTGTGAGCTGATACGCAATTCAGTATCAGTATTGGAAAAGAAAAGTAGTATCGTGCCACTCGCTACTATTGGACCGTGAACCTGTGAAGCCATAGGATCTTGCCATTACAAAATATGCAGAAATCTGCACAATCTAACTCATATAAAAGCTTATGAACAGTTGATCTTAAGAATAGACGTGGGATTAACTGTCGGAACATTTCTGATTAACTCATTAGTTGGCAATCTAAACTGCGCTACTGCCGTGATTTCTTTGAAAGGTGTTCTGAAGAAACTCTGAAAACGTGGCAGACACAATGCCAATATAATTTAATAGGCAGCACTAAAAAGTTCTTTTGACATGCGCCTTTTGACGGCGGCTTTGTCTGCTTTAACTAATCATCTACAGTACTTCAAGTCTATTAGCGCACTCGCTAATGGCTTTATATTCTATAAGGCGTGCAGCAATTCAGTTGTATGCAGAAGATCAGTGAAATTGGTCAAAGAATATTGTGCGCTGTCTATCAGGATTGTAAGAGGACTGAGTGCACTGTTAGGTATGCCAATGCATTAGAAAAGAACAAATGATTTTGTGGGTTTTTAAGCCCCAGGATACATTAAGACTTTTAGCATGGCCAGTGCCCTGACCGCTCTCCCACACTGCTGTACTGTGTGGTTTGTAAGGTGAGGCAGTGGGTTGTGTCTGTGACCTTTGTCCAGTGCACTGACCCAAGCCTATGGACGTGTGGTACTTCCATATGGCCTTAAATTAAAAACCCTCATATCATTTTGTGGGTGCATCAGAATGTGCATTTACACATGACCTTGAGCCACCGCACTGACGTGAGGCTGCCTTTACCACAAACTAGGCAATACTTTACAGGGCTGGAAAACTCATGCCAGACATCCACATCACCTCGCATCAGATCGCAACACACTGCACCATTTTACACATGACCTTTAAAGCTGAAAGAGCAGAGATGCTGCAGAATTCACATGTTGGAACGCTTTAACTCGTCAGATAATAAAAATATGCTGATGAACCATGGAGCAGAGGTGGGAACAAGTCACTAAGTTGTAAGTAACAAGTAAGGCTGAATCCCATTTCTTATTTTTACCCCTACCCCTTGTTTTTTAGTGCCACCTTGCCCCTTGGAACTGAGTTACCTCAAATAAAGAAGAACATTACTTCACTAACAGGCTACTAGTGCTGCTCTGTAGGCGACCCTGCCTGTCTGCAGTGATAGCAGAGGAGGGTAAAGTTCAGCTCCTCACTGCTGGTCTTTAGTTACATTTAGGGAATTATAAGCCTTCAAAGAGGGGGGATACAACAATTATTTATTATTGCCCGCCACTAATTCTTCAGCTATTCACCAGCTTTTTGTTCAATTTTTTCTGTTCCACCTTAAATGGAGCAGCAGTTACATTGTAGCACTTCAGGCATCAGTACTGCTGGAGTATTTAAGGTGGAACAGGAAATTTAGCTAGCTAGCTACCGAAACATTAGCATACTATTAGCGGTTTTTTAAGTTTGTTATGAAGAAAAGGACCATAATACATTGAAACTAATACATTAAACTAAGATAATATAATGGTTATCATATTTTTTTACAGAGAAAATACTTACATTTGTGGGTTCTTTGGTCTTTTGTGCAGCCATGTCTTTTTTTTTTCCTTCTAACACTCTGTTTGGAGTGTGTCTCTGAAAACCCTCCGTTTGGAGGGCCATGTAGCCCTAACACTTCACCCTACCCCTCTGTCTCAGCAAAAATCAGGACACCCTACCCTTAGGAGTGAACATGCAAAACAGAGGGCTAAGGACTAAAAGGTAGGGGCGATGGGTGAAATGGGATGGGGCCAAAGTCTCAAGTCTTGACACTCCAAGAGTCCAGAGGCAAGCCCCAAGTCGAAACAGTCAATCTCAATTCAAATTCCGAGTCAATACAAGCAAGTCTCAAGTCAAGTTTCAAGTCCTAATCTTCAAGTCCTAAACAAGTCAGTATGCATTCTTCAGCTAAAGTAAGGCCATTTCAACACTGAACACCAAAATGATCGTAACAGTAATATCCATACCTAATATCCATACCTAATAACCATGACTGACATATTGGTATACATAAAGAGTAGTTCAAAGTTCACATGAAAAGAAATTTCAAAGTACTATTAAACTTTTAAACTATTCAAATATTTGAATATAATACTTTTTGCTGGTATTTGGGAACATTGGGCGCATGGGATTAAAACAAACACTAGCTCAGCAAACTAAAAACAGACACTAGTTTGAACTGAATTTACCTTCAAAAGCTGTTAAGTTAAGTCAAATAGAGCCCTGTTTCTTTTGTTTTGCTATCATGTGGAAAATGGTCAGTTCGCCTGGTAAGTTTCTCCAGTAAGACTGGAGTTTAAGCGCTGAGTGAGGGCACATAGATCCATTATTATTATCGCTTATTTCTAGCTTATGGAGGTGAACTTGAACTGTAACACTTCACCTCTGACATAAAATAAGCAGAGCATAAACACAGTAACACTCAATTGACGACATTACTGTTTATCAAATTTATGGCAAGAAACGAATCCATTCACATGAAAAGTTAGCGGCTGTGTGGAGTCCTGTCTGCAGTCAGGAGCCTCTATCCGTTTCTTCCACTTTGGGTCTCGAGTCTTTCCAAGTCATGAGGCTCAAGTCTGAGTCAAAGTCTGAATTGCAAGTCAGACTCGAGTCCAAGTCATATGACTCAAGTCCACACTTCTGCCACGGGGGCACAGCAAGTTTGATAATTCATTACACCACGGCTGATTTCAGTTTATTTGTGCTCACCAGTTGTTGCTGCTTACTGGATATGTTTTGATATATTATTGAGGGTTTTGAGAACAAGTATTTAAAGTCAGTTAAGTGTTTTTTCAGGCCAGGCCTACTTTTTGTGGCATTTTACCCCAGTTTTCTCTCCAATTTAGCCATGTCCAATTCCACGCACTAGTTAGGTCTCCCTTAATCACACAGTGCTACCAGCGCAGGCACGTTTCCTCCAAATCATGTGAAGCACCACCTTTCAAACTATTGCTTTCGCAACCTCATTAGACAGCTCAACATGCTTGGAGGAGAATGCTAATGCCAAAACTAGCTGGAGTGATGAGGGCAGAGGCCACCCTACCCACCCAGAGGGAGCAAGACCAATTGGGCTGTCTCAGACTCCTGGCCATAGATCGCTGTAGAATCACCAGGGACTGAACAATAGACAGTTGTGCCACTCTGGAACTGGCAGGCCTACCTTTCTATTAGGTAGCCTTAATCTAAAGTGATAATTTCAATAAACTGATAGCAGAAAAGCCAATTATACTGCCTGTGTAGTTTGCTCTGGGGTAGCAGATCTATGGCAGCTCATTAGACTAAAAGACAGAGCTTATAGCCAGCAGTGTAATTAGTGAGAACTAATGCTGAACATCCTTTAATAAGGGCCCATATCAATCAAAACTGCATTTTCCTCATTTTTAAATAAAAGACATTGATATATAAAACCTACCAATTTCTCCCCAGTTCGTACAGTTCATTTACAGAAACTCAGTTGCAAAAGCAGCCTGTTTTGAATCAATTGCTTCTGTAATGTTGTTAAACCATCACATTTACATATATCCATCTACTCAGCCTGCAGCAGTCCAGCTCATATATATTAGTCTAAAAGGCATAATAACAAAAGAAGAATTGTAAGGGATTAAGAGAGGCTGAAAAATGGTCTGTAAAAATGAATTATGACTGTTTTTGTTACATAAAAATACCAATAACGTTATTGTGTGTGGTGTTGCTTTCGTTCGAAGAGCCAGCTTAAATCTAGCTTGTTAGCATTTTTAATGTTGGCAATGTATCAAAGTACCGGAAAGATTAAAATGATCTAGACGCAAAAGAAACTAATGGATAAAAGATAAAAGCTGAAGTCCACTGACAATGTGACGTAAAGGTATTACACTAGTGTTTGTTGTAATGTTATTATTCCATATTACACTAGTGTGTGCTTACACTAGCAGTGCTAGGACCCGCCACCTGCTGTGTGTGGTGTGCAGAGAGAGCTGAGTGAGAGACGTAAGCTGAGTCAGAGAGCAAACTGTTAGAGAAAAGCTTTGCTTATGTGCGGCGTGGCTGTGGCCAACAACAGCTGGAAAACAAAGCACCACGACTTGTGCAAAAGCTGTCTCTTTTAATAGAGGTGAACGCTACACTGTTCTAGCCAAGCAACATCCATAGTTGAGTGAACAGAATTTCTAGAGACTGACCTGAGGAAGCGGTTGAGGTCTCCGTGCCTCATGTACTCAAACACCATAGCGAGAGGCTCTCCATCTGTACACACTCCGTAGAAGCGGACAATGTGCTCGTGCTGGAGAACGGTCAGCAGTTCGGCCTCTCGCTGGAAATCCTGACGAGTTGACTCGTTGGCGTCCTTTAGCGTCTGACCAGGAAACACAGTGAAGACTCATTTATTATTCTGTATGAAACATTGGAAGTGCAACACTGGATAACTGTTTTTTTTTCAATTGGTAGAAATGTTGTGTGCTGCATGAAGTCATAACAGGGGAATTCCAATGACTTGTCCAAATTTCTGCATAATTAAATCAATAAGATGTAAACAAAGTCATTCAGAGTGGTTTGGTGTGAAATGCTCTGTTCTAGAGAAAATTACCGAGTCAGAATTATTCACAGTGGTGGTGATAGGAACCAGACGTCTGAAGAGTTTAATGCCTCTAAAAGCTCCCTCACCGAAAGTTATTATGTGGAATAGTTTTAAATATGTTGATTTATGCATGAGACCAAGTTTATGATAGTTTTGAGATTGAGAAACATATCGAAGCATGTTCAAGAAATGTTCTGCATGTCAATTCTGGGTTATTGTTCTCCAGCAGTTATTCTCTTGGATTATTTGGACAAAAACTCTTATTGTGAAGGTGGGGCTCGCCTTTCTTCACAGTGTTTATGCCTGTACAACAAGAAGAACAAGTCAGTCAGGGCTTGGATGAGGGTAAGTGCAGTCATTAGCTGATATTAGAGCTGGCTGTTAAAAACCATTCATGGTGGAGAGATACATGCAGGATGTTGTGAGGCAAAATAGTCCCCAGAAAAAGATTTCAGATTTAACACTATGTAATCATTAACACTGCATGTAAAACTCGGAAGACAAGTGTAAATTAAATGCCTATATTTGTGTTGTAGTCATGGTCACCCCTGGATCCTACCAACATCACTGTAAAGAAATCTGTTTCAGTAAGTTTTTCTACAATGAATCATTTTACATCAAACCACTCTGAATGACTCTTGTCTCAACAACTGAATAATGCAAATATTTTGGAATAACCATGAAATTCCCATTTAACTTAAACAAAACTTACACCTGTTTGAATCTGTAGGTAACCCAATGTATAAGAACTTTTACTGCATGTGTGAGGTAACTGGTAGCTTTGTTAGCTGGCTTGTATAGTTGGTGCAGGTTGCAAATACTATTAAAAGAAAGCATCTTAGATTACGACTAACTTGTGGACTCTACCTTAATGGCCACCAGCATCTTGTCCGTGTCTGGACAGAGATTGGCACACTCAGCCAGGTAAACCTTGCCAAAGGCTCCCTCTCCCAACTCCCACTTCAGCATGATGTCCTGCCTCTTAATGTGCTGCACACCTGAAACAGCCATGGTCATTCATTCCATCACAAGGTCATTTCATCTCTAGTATAAAGTGATCTAATACCGTTCCTCTTCATTAAAAACTAATCTGGAAAGCATTTGATTGTTTATATTTAGCATAGTTTGATTATTTACAGTGTTTTAAAATGTAAACCCTATTATCTTAAAGCCCCAGGGAATCTAAATTTTGGATTTTGCAGTGTACATACAGTACAGTGCAAAAGTCAGAGACTGAACTTATGTTTTTTTGAATTCCCAGTCAAAACAGCCATTAAGTTCAGGTTTTTCATTTTTTTCAAATCTTCATATCTTTTTTTTCAGTCTTTAGTGTGTCCACCCTTGGCCTTCAATCCAGCTTCCATTCTTTTCAGGAGATCTGCTCTCAGTTTTTCAAAGAAATCTGCAGGGACATTTTTCCACCCCTCCAAAGTTCAGACTTGGTTGCACTTTCTGCTTCTGACAAATGTGCCTTTTCTTGTGTATTTCCTGTTCTCAGTAAGGGCTTCTTGACAGCTACACAGCTTTCAGACCCATAGCGTCCAGTTTTCTTCTCGCATTAGGAGTGATATTTTCTCTTTATCATTAACAAACGTTTTATTACCTTGTATTTTTTCACTTATTTTGTTATTTTTGACTTTTTCCTTCATATGCAAGTAAATTGTCATATATTTCCTCAGACATTTCTCCTGGAAAATGAATAACATTGAACTTAATGGTTGTTTTGCCTGGAAATTAAATAAATGAAGTAATGTAGTCTGACTTTTTACACGGTACTGTCCTTAACCAAACCTTCTCCTTTTTTAGTGTGAATTGGGTGGTCCTCCTTATAACATAGCTTTTATCAAAACCTGAAGAGATCCACCCACTTTGAGGCCGAGCAACTTAGATAGTGAAAGCTAACAGTTGAGCCAAAGCTAACTTAGTAAGCGTAGCCTACTGTGATAATTCTGTCACCTCTTGTGAATGTGGGTTATCTGTTGGTGGACCTTCTAATACTCAAAATCAGCATCAGTATGTTCATACATGTAGGCTTAAACATTACCGACTGTGGCATTTACTGTTTGAGAGGCACAGCAGGTAAGTGAATTGTCTGCCATTGTCATCATATCTTCATTCGCTTGATAAAGCAATAAGCCACAAGAGGCCATGCATTACTGCAATTGTATCACAGGAAGGGTGTTCTTAGCCAAGACATGAAGCAGAGTGCCTAAAACTCCCATGCCCGTGATAAAATCACAGTAATGCATGGCCTCAAGTGACTTATTGCTTTTAAAAATGGCCAACATAAAATATGATAAAACACACAATTTTTCATAAACTAATGAAAGTTATTATTAATAATAATCGACATAAACAAGTATTCTGCCAAGAAATGTAGCAACCATGAACTGCTGAATGAGGAGAAGAACGCTTGGTCGCCAATCAGCGCATATTTAATGAATGTATAATTCAATGAACTTTTTCACTTTTTGTTGTATAATAATAAACATATGATAAAACAGCTCTATCTAATGCAAAAACCTTCACTTTGTAAGTTTTTTTTTGCTCACCAAATTACCACCGCGAGTCTTAATTAGCACCAATCCAGCAGCATCCCTCTCCCTGCTCCCTACATAGTGCACTACGTAGGAACTTAAATACTGTATCCTGCACCCCAACGGTGCAAAATACGTCTAAGAAATAGTCATTTGGGACTCAACCACATTCATACTCGATAAATGATGCACTGTTTGGCTGTAGAGGCTAGAATTTCTAAACATAGCTAGCACACTGTTTAGGGAGTACAGAGCTATTTGGGATTCAGCCTGGATTTGATGCTACTTCTGACTGAAACACAGACATTCAAAGCATGTAAACCATTCAAGTGGCATTCTTTAGACGTTTATATTGCAGTTTTACAGTGAATCATATCATGAGTACTTTAATTCAAGCCTGTGATATTAATGACGGAGCTGTATAGGATGTTGGCTATCTTTTAGCCTGTTAGCTAGCTGACCAGCCTTAAGAACATAAGTCGTCAGCCCTTAAGTAAAAAAAAAAAAAAACTTTATCAGTACACGGTGGCCAATGTGAGCAGCATGAGCAGTTGTAGGTGTGCGTACATTGTGTATTTTACAACGGCTATGAACATGGCTCAGCCAATCAGTTTTTAGGACCAGAACTATCTATATTATTATGTTGATTTTGCAGCTGAGACCTAAATATCAAGCCAGACTTTCTTTTCTCTGAGCCTGTGCTTGGGACGTTAATACATAAAGATCTTTGACATGGTCTGAGAAACTACTGTTTTCAGTTTGAATGTCAATTGTTGTTCAATTTTTACAAAAAAAAGAGTATAAGGCACAGCACTGGAATTATACAGAAACAGTTTTAACATGTTTCAGTGCATTACCTGGGACTTTCAAATCAGTCAGACTTAGTTTACCATCTTGCAATGATCTTAGTGCTACAATACCTTTGAAAACTAAGCCCTAACTGGATCTGAAATCCTTTTAATTTTATCCCCTACTCACACATGTCCTTGTCTTTGATGATGCCGCAGAAATACTGAGGGTTCTCCACGAAGCTGGACAGCCCAGAGTCCAGTGTGCCTTCATCTGAGGAAGGAGGACTGGCACCAAAGTTCATAAAACGCAGAGAGACAGCGAGGTCATCCTCCGTGCCTAGAACAGATGACCCTGTTGACATATAGGAGGAGTAGGAAAACTATGGCTTTTCTTGTACTCAACTTACGCTTGTGTTTCTTTTTTAATCACTGCTTTATGTATCACCAGAACTTACTTGGCAGTGACTGAATTTCACCGACTGTACATGTCAAGCACATTAGAACATATTTAAAGCTTATTAAAATCTAATATATATCGCTGTGTAATAGAAATTGCATCCAACTCGCTTGAGATTTCTAACTATCAAAGTACCATCATGGTGAGTTCTGCCTCTTGAGCCCCTCTATTTGAAACTTCTGCACATGAGTTAGCCTATGAATTAAAGTGAAATTTCTAGAGAAACTTACAGACTCTGATTTCTTTACAGTGGTGGTGATAGGAACCAGGGCTCCTGATATCTACAACTCAAATACAGCCATTCTATTTACTTTCCAAAACCACCAGTGAACCTGCATTGTCGTCTGAGTTTTTATATGTAATGTTGGTGATGGTAAAATAGTAGGAAATCTGAAAAATATGTTTTCTTTGGGGTCTATTTTGCCTTAGAACATCCTTTTTGTATCCTTTCACCATGAATGGTTTAAAATAAAATAATTAAAATACATTTTAGTCCAAAAACTTTAGCACAAAACTAAAATCAATCTCTCAGACATCAGGCTGGGTTTTCATAACCCTTTCACATAATAATTTTCTGTGAGGGAGCTTTTAGAGGTGGATGTCTGATTCCTATCACCACCACTGTGAACAGTTCTGACTCAGCAAGTTTCTCTAGAATGAAGCATTTCACACCAAACTACTCTGAATGACTTTGTTTACATTTTAACCATTTAATTATACAGCAGTTTTGAAAAATCAGTGATTTTCAGAGTTTTCTTTAAAAGCAGGGCTGCATTCCTGCACAGTTTGGTGATTGTCCTGCTCAAACACACCTGATTCAACTCATCAGTGAATGACCAGGTTTGGTTGGTGGGTAGAGCAGTAAAATCACCAAACTGTGCTGGACTCACACTTTCCCACCCCTGCATTAAGCGAACCTATAATAGGTCATGGTCACGGTCATTGGGCTAGAGATCATGAAGGGCACTACAAGGAGTGGATTTTTCAGTAGAAATGCACTCAACTAGCCTAGCCTGAGCTATTTAGCTAGTTGAGCTTTTTAATTCAAATCCTTTTTTAAAGCAGAGAAGAAAATACACAAATTTAAAATAACTGTTTCGTCTGGTTTAAGTGTTGTTTTGTCTGGTTTTTGTTGTTGTCTGGTTTAGCCCCTAGCTTGCCATTTAGCAAGTTAGCAGAATAGAGTAACAAAGTTAAGATAGTATCAGGGACCCCTCGAGAGGAAACCATGAGGGTACAAGGTCATGTTGAAAAGAGCACCGAAATACACGGTACACGTTGTTGTTGAAGATGTGCTCAAAAATTTCACTGTTAGCATGAATGCTAACTTTGATAATGTTTCGCACTGTTGTTAATATTGTGAAATTCAAAGAAAATTATCAGTAAAATATTTAAATCCTGCTTATCGCTGAACAGATTCTCATTATTGTTCATTGAAGTTCAAGTCGACTGTGTTTTAATAAGAGAATCTATCTGAAAGCAGCATGTACAGAAATACAGTTTCAAATATTGTCTGCTAGTATATAAAATCAGAATATATACCAGAGACATGGACGTTACTCTTATTTTCTCTCTTACTAAGGATATATGATTGAGGCAACGTGAGAACATAGCTATTTCCCAAAAAATTAAATAACAGACCCTAGCAATATAAGGGTGAGAATATAAGGGTGGGACAAAGAGGGAACACAGGACCAGGGAAACATAGGGCACTGGGAAAATAGGGATGACCCTCATCCAAATCAACCAATCAGCCAAGACATGTTTGGTGTCCTGTTTGCTTCTTCTGCTTTGCACTAGAGCTACAAGGCTGGCGTAGCAAACAAGAAAAGGAAGCAAATGTAGTCCACACCAATTGGCATCACACAGACTACATACCATGTCAAATAATCTCAAATGCACTTGTTTATGTGGTTTCTGACATTGACATACTGTCATGATACACTGTGGTCTATCAAAATGCACATGTTGCATAGCTAAAAACAGTACTAGCAGCCGTCTTGAAGCCTGAATTGGTGGGGTTGGCCTTTGCTACTCTGCTACGTGCTAGCAAAACTCTTAGCTTATTCCGCCTCATTGATCCAGTGCAAAACAAAAGAAGCAAACTTCAGAGGCCAAATGGCTTCACTGAACTGTTATTTTAAAAAATGACTAACCAGAGAAGGGCTCAGAGTTCAGTAGAGTCCCTGAATCATGCAGAGATGGAGGAACATGGGAAAAAAGAAAGCTGGAGGGAGGCAATCAGGTCCATTTAGCCTCTTTGCGAGCGAAACAAGTGGGGGCCAGAAAAGCCCCGGCTCCATCACTCTTCTTTAATGGCCGGCACAAGGCCGGCACTGCTCGTGCTATTTACTTTTGCAAACTGTAATTAAGACCTGGCAGCACTTTCGCTAGGCTGTTAGGCTGGCACTGTGCAAAGTTACAGCCCCAGAGGAAACCGTATAGCCTATCACCACCTCCTGTGCTTTACTTAAAAGCAACACAATGCCCAGCCACAAAGCTCGGGTTCTGAAGCTGTAAGGGCAAAAGGTGTTTTGACGGTGTACTTTTACAGGACTTGGTTGTTTTTTCCTAGTGAATGTGAGATTTTGTGTTCCGTTGCTTTCGTCACATGCGGCTAATGCAATTCAGTTAAAGTTTCTAGGCCTACATATTAACTAAGTCCTGAGAGATGTAACCTTTTCAGATTTGCTTCATTTTATGTGGTCTTCACTGTAAACATTTCTGTTTATATACATCTGTTCCACAACAATTCTTGGCTTAAAATGCAATATTAGTCTGAATAGGTACAGTCAGCTCCAAAATGATTAGCACCCTCAGTAAAGTCTGTGGTTAATTATGTCAAACTCACACTAATAATATCAAATACAAAATACAGAAATTGGCACCACTATTGTTGTAACAGATTGAACAAATGTCAACAGTCACTACCAGTTCAGACACTGTAAGTTTACTTTATTTGAGACCTGTCTTTTTTTTTTTGCTATATTGAGCCTTCTTATTTTTTCAAATAGTCTGAGGTTTTGTGGCTTTTTGCTTGTTTTGGCCATAGCAGTTTTACTGCTGGACTTGTGGACTATTCTCTATGGAACTGAAGTCTCTCTGATAAAGTTATGGACATGTTTGGAGATATGAACTTTGGTTTTCCACTCATCCAAATCCAAACTAACTGCTTGGTTTGTATATTTGGTTGGCTTGTCTGATTGTTTTGTTTTCTGTGAGTTAAAAAGGGTGCACAACTCAGTAAAGGTCAAAACTGAGGTATTCTGTTCTGCTTAACTTCTTGCTATTTTTATTCCTGATTAATTTAATTGCATCAGCTTACAGTGTCTGAACTGGTAGTGACTATTGACATTAGTTCAATCTGTTACATTGTTCCCATGTGTATTTCTCTTAAAGTCCATGTGAGCATTCAGAAACTCCTCAAGTATCATCCATGACTTTATCTTTGTCGTACTTCAACATAGAGATGATTACAGAATACACACAAAGGTGTGTTGGCCTTCATAAAGCAGGCAATGGCATAAAACAAGCCTTTTCTTTCATCTAACCTTCTCCAGACGCTACTGGGACTCAGGTGACTGGAGCCACGTCCTATGGTCAGATGAGACAAAAGTAGAGCTTCTTGGCAAACTCGGCAAACTCTTGGCATAAAAGGAAGGATGGCTCTACGGAAAAGAACCCTATCCCCACTGTTAAATATGGTGGAGGATCTGTGCTGGTTTGAGGCTGTTTTTTTCTCCAGCAGCTCTGGGAACCTTGTTAAGATACAGGGAATCATGGACTCCATGAACTTCCAAGAGATTTTATATTAAAATCTGGCTGTTTCTGCTTAATTGTAGGGTCTTCCAGCAGGACAATGATCCAAAACATATCTCCAAATCCACACAAAGATGGTTCAATGAGCACAGAATCAAGCTTTTGACATGGCCATCCCAGGCCACAAAGGAGTAAATGCAGGAGTGCCAATAACTGTGACACTGTGACACTGATAAGGGTATTTTTATTTCAGTAAAAGATTTTTTCCTATATTTTAGTGTGGCTAATTAACCACAGGGACATTTTTATGACCTGCTTACATATCTTTACAAAGGGTGCCAATAATTATTGATTGTATATACACACAATTAAGGCTTCAGAATGGTTGCTACTACTGTTCTTAGCTTTGTGATATACTTTTGTCCATTTTTACAGAAGGCAGTATGTTATTCAGTCTCAGAAAACACATATAGTCATATGCAAACGTTTGGGCTCCCTTGGTGAGAATAAGTGAACACATCCTCTACAGAGAACACACTTCTGCACATTTTAATGCACAGTTACTGTTAATGAATTTAAAAATGTTTGCTGAATTTAAAATATTGGGGAAAAAATAAAACCTAACAAAATATGGAAAACATAATCTTAACAGGGATGCTCAAACTTTAACATACGACAGAAAGCGGGTCTATTTAAGATTACTTAGCAATAGTTTGTGGCAAGGGTATGATGAATGCTATGTAGTTAGCACCAGGCTAATTGCTGGGTATTAGCTTCCATTACTTGCCAGCTTCATTAGCCTTGTAGCTCCAGTGTAAATCTAAAGAAGCAAACTTTGGAACAAGCCTTGGCTGATCGACTACATCTGGGGTAAAGGGGGAAACTGGGTGCATTTGATTTTCCTCTTAACTATCACTTAGAAATGACCCAAATGACCGATAACATTGTTGAAAATCATGCATACTAAAGCTTCTGATAAATATAGCTGTTGGATAGATTACTGCATCAAAGTGCAGCATTGGAGTGCAGTCAAGACTTACGGTGGATGCCAAACTTGGAGTGCTGCCCGCACTTATTGATGACCAGCACCATGATGAGGAGGAATGTGCAAGCGAATACAGCAAGGCCTACAGCAACAGACACCTGCAGACAGAAACACAAGAAGCACTGATGTAGAGATATTGATTATATTAATACTTAGGTCGTCTACTGATATTTCATGGATTAAGTGAGTAATCAGAATGTTAAAAAACAGATTTATCTGTTGCATAAAGATTTGGGAATACTTCATTTAAATAAGGCCTTTAAATGATATTAAAAATATAGACACTTGAAATGAATATGGATGCCTGACTATCACACCTATATGAGCTTGTTGGAGATGTTATTCCAAAACCATGGGCATTGATAATGACCCTTCCTTTGCAACTCCACTCTTCTGAGAAGGCTTCCCACAAGATTTTGGAGTGTGTCTGATTTTGGATTTTGTGTCCTTCCAGTCAAAAGAGCATTTGTGAGGTCAGGCACTGATGTTGGAGGAGAAGGTCTGGCTCACAATCAATGTTACAAGTCATCCCAAAGGTGGCCAGTGGGGTTAAGGTCAGGGTTCTGTCCAGGTCTTTGGAGTTCCTCCACACCAAACTTGACAAATCATGTCTTTAAGGACTTTGTGCACAGGGGCTCAGTCATACTGGAGCAGAAAAGGACTTTCCCCAAACTGTTGCCACAAACTTGGAAGCATACAATTGTCTAAAATGCCTTTGTATGCTGTAGCACTAACATCACCCTTCACTGGAACTAATGGGCCCAAACTCTGAAAACAGCCCAGATCATTATCCCTCCTCTACCAAACTTTTGGCACAATGCATTCTAGTAGTTTGGTGTTGTTGCTCCTAGATGCTTCTGTTTCACAATAACAGCACTTACGGTTGACTGGGGCAGATCTAGCAGAGCAGAAATGTCAACTGACTTGTGGCAAAGGTTGCATCCTATGACAGTGCTAGTTTAAAGTCATTGAATTCTTCAGTACAGCCCATTCTACTGCCAGTGTTGGTGGGGATTGCATGGTCGTATGCTTGATTTTATACACTTGTTGGCATTGGGTGTGGCTGAAACACTTGAACTCAATAATTAGGAGGGCTATCCATGTAATTTTGCCCTTATAGTGTACGAAACACTGTGTGGCAGAAAATGGCATATATATATATATATATATATATATATATGTGTGCGTGTGTGTGTGTGTATGTAATAGCATATGAATCCATTGAGCTCTGTTTCTTATTCTAACTGAGAGCATTAGAAATTACAATATGTATTATCACCATGCAAACTGTGAACAAATCACTACCAATTCAACCGTTGACTTTTGATTCCAATTAACTGATTTTGAGTCAATTAATTGAGCTGAATCGATTAATCGGACAGCCCTTCACTGACGCCCACTCACTGAGGAGACATTATTCTTTATTAACATCATCCTCTTACCCCAAACAATCTGGTTTCCAGCTTCTCTGTGACATTCTCCGTGGACTGGTTGGTTGGTACTGCTGGAACATAAAAGCTCTTTGTCAGTCACTGAGATTTCAGTATTCAAAGTTTTTGAATGGAAATGTAGCTGAAGAGTCTCTTGACATGCAATACTCATATGAGAGCTTCGAATATAATGGATTAGAGAATAATTGAATTTGGAGGTGAATTCAAGAAACTTACTTGGGGTATTGGTTAACACTGGCATGTGTTGAGGAAGAAAAAAAGAAGATTAATACATGAAATAATAACCATCCCTACTTACAGTTACCCTGTGTTACTTTAATGCATTGCACTGGTTCAAGAGAAAGAGAGGTTGGAAAGTTATAAAAGTACATCTGGTTCTGTTCTTAATTACCTTTTCAAGGATTTTCATCGATGAGTGAAAAATGTTTTTGTGGTTGTAGGTTCAGCTTATTAGGAAAGCAACATTTTTTACCTTTTCCTGCACATTTTCATGTTATATGTGTACATGTATACATTATATGTACATAATTATGCTCCATAATTATTGCCACCCTTGGTAAAGATGGGTAAAAAAGGTCATGAATGTCTTTGCGGTAATTTAGCTCAATCTCACGCTGGATATATATTTTTTAACAAAACCATGTGTGTCACAGTTATTAGCACGCCTTCATTTAGCACTTTGTGTTACCTCCACTGACCAACATAACAGTAATAAGCTTTAAGAAATCTGAGAACACTCCTAAATACAGATCCTTCAGGGTCCTAGGACTCTCCTCTTCAGCTCACCCTACAGGTTTTCAATGGGGTTTAGGTTAAGGGACTTGCACAGCGATGTCAAAAGTTTGATTCTGTGGTCTTTGAACCATTATTGTGTGGATTTGTGTCTAGTGAATGCCTTCCAAATAGTTTGTTGGCATGGAAGTGGCATCTAATTGTAGTTTTGGAGAATCGCTGACTCAAAAATTCTACCTTCTTCTGCAAATTTCCACTCGGGTAAAATATACAAAAATAAACATGCATCCTCTTCCAAGCAGGTTTACTACAGTTCTGGTTGTTTTAACTTTCTTAAAAATTGCCCTAACAGTGAATATTGGCATTTTCAGGAATGTAGCCTTTTTATACCATTGCAGGATTTATTAAAAAAGTCCACACACTTTTGTTTTATTTCATTTGTGTATTTCATTCGTGTTTTCAGAGTTCCTGAACGCTCACATGAACATAATGAAATACAAATTGGAACATGCTTTGGGGAACATGAACATTTTTGTTTACAAGAATTTCTAGGGTTTGCCAATAATTGTGACACTTGTTTTTTGGGGTTTTGTTTTGGATAAAGGTTTTCTTAGACTAAATTTGCTTTAATTAAAGATTAGATTTCTCTCATAATTTCAGTGTAACTGAGCTAATTCACCATAAAGACATTTTTAAGACTTTTCTATCCATCTTTGCCAAGGGTGCCAATAATTATGGATCCGTCCGACTGTGTGAGTACATATACAGGCCTTCTGAGCAATTTGTAACATATATACATGTATAAAACAATATATATATATATTGTTTTATACATGTATATATGTTACAAATTGCTCAGAAGGCCTGTATGGAAGAAAAATATAAGTACATCTAAGGCTTACCTATTGATTTTATTTCTAATACTCATATCAGTCCTTCATCCTTGTATACCCAGCATCTGCATGCATACAATACAATGGACCATAAAGGCCAACACTTACCAGGGATGACGCCTTCTGGGTCAAAGGGGTCAAAAGGATTGTCCATGAATATGCCTTTGGCGGTGGCCTCATCTCTGCCGTATTTGTTCTCCACTATGAGTGTGTATTTGCCGTTGTTGAGGTGGGTGGGCTTGTTGAGGAAGAGGCAGCCGTGCTGGACGGAGCCATCGCCCTGGTCCATGATCAGCTGGGTGTAGGTATATTTGGTCTCACTGAGTGGCATGCTGTTGTACAGCCACCTAATAGTGGGGGCTGGATTACCGTCCACTGCGAAGGGGAAACACCAATGATGCTGCTGCTCTGCCTCCCTCAAGAACAGGATCTTCACTGGGACTGAACACAGAGTGACAGGGTCATTACAGTTAACTCCTAAACTGAATGACTGAATTGACTTTGCAGACCTTAGTGCTACAAAGCAAAGTGGCCAAAGCAAATGAATATAGCCTAAATGTAGCTAAGACCTGTTTGGTGTCTGAAGTTTGCCACAAGGCTAATGTAGCTAATAGGTAAATAAGAGCACCCCCTTGGGGATAATTTTCCACTTGCTAAACATGAGTGAGTGAGTGAGCAAGTGTGTAACATGTATATGAGATGCTTCATAAAAAAAATAGACCTTTAAAGTTGTCTTGTTATTAGTTGCCATCATGCCCATATTAGAAACTCTGGGTCTGAGGTGATGGGCAAACAAATGTGATTTTTGAAAGTCACTGCTGTGGTAAACAAGAATGTTTTAAAGACAGTACTTTGACTACTTTTTGCAGATGTTTCCGGTGTTCTGACGAATTGTGCTACCTTGTCGAAATGTCCTACCGCACCGTATATTTTAAGTAGTGCTCTACATAAAACTGTAGGTAGGATATTTTGATGACCTAAACGATCCTATCAGAAAATGCTACCAGCACTGAAATCTATAGGTAGGATAATTTGATAGCGTAAATCTCCTTATCAGTAATGTTAAACGTTACCAGCATTAAAAGAATAATTAGGATATTGTGATCGCCTAAATCACCTTATCAGGGAGTAAGTAATAATATTAATCGGAATATGCACTGAATTAACATTAAAAAAACAACAAAAACGTTTGAAACATTAAGTTACTACGTTATAGTAATGACATGCGCATGCTTAGTAGGACCGCTCGATGGGTAGGATAAATTCAGAGAACACCGGATCCTCTGAATTACAAGGTTGAATTTATTCAATACCAAATTTGAATATTACTACATGCAAGCTAACACTGCTGTGCACTGAACAGACATTAGAAGACTGGCAACATCACCAAAATACCCCACACAAACAGCAAGCTTTGTCAAATGTGGTTGGCAGTAACAGCCAGTTTGTGTAGCTGGTGTCATGCTTGCTGAAAAAAACAGCACAGACCAGCATGAACGCCCTGCTAGTCTTAGCTGGTCTAAACTGGTTTATGCTGGTTTATTGAGTGACCAGGGTCCTTTCTGTGTGGAGTTTGCATGTTCACCCTGTGTCTGCGTGGGCTTCCTCCAGGTGCTCTGGTTTTCTCTCACAGTCCAAAGACATGCAGTCAGACGGATTGGACACGCTAAGTTAACCCTAGGTCTGTGAGTGTATATGTCTGTCTGTCTGCCCTGCGATAGACTGGTGGTCCAGGGTGTTTCCTGCCTTCTGCCCAATGAAATACTGGGACAGGCTTCAGCACCCCTGCGACCCAGGAGGATAAGCAATGTAGATAATGTGTGTGTACTATTAATTATTACATATTACATTAAAATAATTTAATATATTTAATATACAACCCCATTTCCAAAAAAGTTGGGACGCTGTGCAAATTGTATATAAAAACAAAATGCAAAACCCTATATTTCATTGAAAATAGTACAAAGACAACCTATCAAATGTTGAAACTGATCAGTTTTATTGTTTTTGAAGAATATAAGCCAATTTTGAATTTGATGGCAACAACACATTCCAAAAAAGTTGGAATGCGGGAAACAAAAGGCTGGTAAAGTTGTGTAATGCTGGCCCAAGCTCATTAAAATGATCTGAGGGGAAGTGGAAAAGTGTCCAGTGGTCAGACAAATCAACATTTGAAATTCTTTTTGGAAATCATGGACACTGTGTCCTTCGGGCTACAGACAACTCAGTATTCATGGTGGTATAGGGGTGCATTAGTGCACATGGCATCGGTGACGTGCACATCTGTGAAGGCGCCATTAATGCTGTATGATATACACAGGTTTTGGCAACATATGCTGCCATCCAGACAACGTCTTTTTCAGGGAAGGTCTTGCTTTTTTCAGCAAGACAATGACAAACCACATTCTGCATGTATTACAGCAGCATTGCTCTGTATTAAAAGAGTCTGGGTGCTAACTGGCCTGTTTGCAGTCCAGACCTGTCACCACTGAAAACATTTGGCACATTATGAAATAAAAATACAACAAATGAACCCCTGAACTGTTGAGCAGCTGAAATTCTATGTCAAGTATGAACAGGAAAATATTTCACTTTCAAAACTACAGCAATTGGTCTCATCAGTTCCCAAATGATTACAGAGTGTTGTTAAAAAAAGAGGTGATGAAACACAGTCGTAAACATGCCCCCATCCCAACTTTTTTGGAATGTGTTGTTGGCATCAAATTCAAAATAGGCAGATATTTTTCAAATAACAATAACATTTCTTGATTTAAACTTCTGATATGTTGTCTTTGTAGTATTTTTCTTTAAAAATATGGTTTACATGATTTACACATCATTGCATTCTATTTCTAATTATATTCTGCACAGCGTCCCAACTTTTTTGGAAACGGGGTTGTATAATAAAAGTTTAATAGTAGACTTTCATGCGCTGTAATTTCAGTGCTACATTAAACACAGATATATGACGCTTCTAAAACACATTTCTTGTTTTACTTGTGACAGACATATTAGCATAAATATATTGTATATATCTTGTAGCAGTTTCACATTGACTCTTTTAGTAGAGAGGCCTGGTATACTGCTGCTGCTGCTGTTTTCCATTTCCAACAACGCACTGATTAGGCTGCCACTCACATACATAATCAGTGACTGAGACTTCCAGAAGGTGTAGAATGATGTTTTTACTCCCTAAATGCCTCATGAATAAAGTATTGGAAATCAAAATATGATTTGTTGAATCCCCTGTCACTTCATAATTATGCTGATAGTTAATCTAATACATTAGGACTTATCTTCAGCTCCTGAAGCTCATATGACATCTCACTTAGCTATATTGACCTAGATACAACAGAGAAAAACAGTTCTTGATTTGATCATTTTCCACTAAGCCTTTCAAGAATTAAACTATATTCAAAACTTTTCCATCCAAAACTTTATAAAGAAACAAGACTAGCAATGTAATTCTTGAGGACTTTTAATACAAGCATGACTCTATTGAATACAAAGCCACTAAAAATTACAGGCATGCATTTTTCTCTGAAGGCCTGTAAAGCCCTGAGGCTTCCTTTCTGCAAATTAACATATATTTTTTGTACCCTGCTTGAAAAAAAAAATCATAGAAACCATTCAAGGTTTCACTTTTTTAATCCTAATGGTTTCAATGTTTTTTTTCAGAAGGGTTTGCAGCGGTTTTCCAGTATTCAACTTAAGTAAAGAGCTCTGACAGAGTTTTCCATTTCTAACAACTGCCTGAAACACATTGGTCAAGCTAGCACTCGTACTCACAGTCAGTGACATAACCATGAATTAAGAGTTTTACTGCAATACTTCATGCTGTTTTCATGTCTCAAATAGACTTGCTTATGTGGTTTCAGGCTTTGGATAAAAGTATGGACAAAAGTCAGGCCTCAAGATGGCTGCTGCGGCTGTTTTTAGCCTTATGACGCACATTCTATTCAACAACTCAACATGGATTGAGGCCAGTTTGTGATGATTAAGGCATGTACTGTGCACAGTGCCATTCGGTGAGCTATGAACATCCATTACTTGCTACATTAGCCCTGTAGCTCCAGTGCAAAGCTAAAGACACATTCGTGTATAATAACTATTTCGAGCTAATTCAGGAAAGCTAATGGCCGAAAGCTTGCTCAGGTGCTCAACAGCCGTGTCATAATTGCCTCATGAATCGATGGGTTCCATCAACACGGTAAACCCGTTGACCTAACATGAATAATAAATCCCTCCCTGTTTAGGGGACCTAACCACAAGAAGCACCTGCGAGCTGAGCAGATGTAGCATGCAGGAAATGATTCTTTTAGCTGCGAGGAACATGCTGATGCACACAGCACGGTCGCTCTGCTATAACCATTTCACTGCTCTTAACCTGTGACCCTGCCTCCAGAAAGTGCTTCGGCAGAGAGAAACGTGGCCATTTGTGTCATACTGCAGATATTGCTTCTGACAAGGTTCCTCATTGCTAGCGCTGATGTTAATAGATCATCAAGTTTTCCGAACTGCCGGTGAACTCCAATAAGTGCACGGAGTTAAAGGAATTAAATAATTGCACGCTTCACTCACTGGTTAAGACGAGAGGTGGAATTAAATTGCCATGTGCATTTAGTCACTGATTAAAAATCAGCCGCTGCTAAAAGGGGAGTCAGATAATTGGACTTCAGCATCTCCTCGGTCCAGCATGAGCTCACAGCTAGCTGTAGTTTAAATTGACTGATACCTGGATAACCCTCAGAGGTCTAGAGTTGTAGTCCTGTTTAAATATATTTATTAGGATGTTTATAAGGGATGAGACAGATTTTCAAATGTGCAAAAAGTCATAAAAGTTTAAAATGTCGAATAGTAAATTTGAAGTTTTGATATGCAAATTAGCGACTTGTCCAGGGTGTATCCTGCTTTCCACCCAGTGACTGCTGGGATAGGCTTCAGCTTCCCCCGCGACCCAGAAGGATAAGCGGCTTAGAAGATGTGTGTGTGTGTGTGTGTGTGTGTGATATGCAAATTAGCTTCTCTCTAACATTTAATGTTCTCGTATTTATGAACTGTGAACTCTTTGCTCCAGCAGAGGGCAGTGAAGGGTCTGCATCTTATGTTTTAAGTTTAATCCTATGTGGAAAACATATAAGCTGTGTCCCAATTCAGGTCCTGCATCCTTCAGAGGCTGCATTTGAAGGCTGATTGCGTCACAGCGGCTCTGTCCCTTCTGGAGGCTCATTCGTTTGCGGCCGAGAAATGTGCACATCTTTTCCATGGCAACAAAGGATCCAATGGGTCCCTGAGGTTCACTACATGCCAGCGTGGATTCGAGAACATGGTGGGTTTAAACTGAGATGAATAGCTAACGATTCAAATGTTAAAAAAGCCAATCTGGTCTTAAGCAAAACTTAAAACGCTAATGTTTCTTTTTGTTTTAGGGAGAAAGTAGCAGACAGAGAGATTTATAAGACTGCCAGGGACTATAAAATAAAACTAAAATCAGTTTCTGATTTTAGTTTCTGAAGTTTGTGGCTCAATCTTTAAAGAACTTTAAAAGATCTTGATAGGAGCAGTGATGCAATGGTAAGGGTGGGAACAGCAGTGCTGTGATGCAAACAGGAAAGAGCAGACCGTCTCATTTCGGTTCAGCCTTTGCGGGTCTATGCCGCCTTCAAAGGATGTGGTCTACAACGGTGTCCTTCAAAGACTGCACAGACCTGTGAAGCTACTGTAGTCTTTAAAGGGGGGGTTCCAATTCAGGGGCTGCATCTCTCTGGCAGATAGCAGATATTACAAAGCATAGCCTTAGCACACAAGATGCTTCTCAGAAAAGTGCTAATATACAAGAAGCTCAAGCTCATTTTACCCCTTACGTTTATAGATTTAGTGGAACTAAACTCATCGTTCCCATTTGTTTTGACATCACAAAAATGCAAAAGATTCTGTGAAGCAATAAATATCTCTTACTTACAAGAAACAGATTTACAATTTATTACCACCTTATTATTCTATAACTTCTGAGTGCTGAGAAATATTCTTGAATTATTTTTGGTTGCTAATACTATGCTAGCACCTTGTCATGGAGCTGTGCTCTTTAGGGTTGTGTGTCGACCCCTGTGAGCACCCTCTTGGTTTGAGGGGTAATTAAGCAGAGGACGTTAATGAGCCTCTGTCCACCACTGAGGCTAGTCTGATGGATTAGCAGCTAGCACGCTTACTGTCTGCCAATCAATCCTCACAATTATGTTTCCGGACTATGGGGGAGAGAAGTCCATTAGCAGAGAACAAACAAGATCTGACGACAGTTATCATCCCATTTTCCTGACAGTCATTATCGCTCCCCTGATGGCCATACATTTGTCTGAAGGCAAGCAAGAGGAGGCGATAAACAATGAACGTTTCCATTGTAAACATGGTCCGTACTGGATTTTTGATGAAAATAAGATTAGCAATACCCATTGAACCCATTGATGTATGTCATACACTGTATGGCCAAAAGTATGTGGACACCTGACCAACACACACACACACACAGCTTTTTGGACATCCCAATTTAAAACCATAGGCTTTAACATGGAGTTGTCCCTTCCTCTTTGCGGCTATTACAGCCTCCACCTCTGGGAAGGCTTTCCACAAGATTTTGGAGTGTATCTGTGGGAATTTGTGCCCATTCAGTCAAAAGATACTTTGTGAGGTCAGGCACTGATGTTGGATGAGAAGGCCTGGCTCACAATCAGCGTTCTAGTTCATCCCAGAAGTTCTAGTTCATCAAAATTTTCCACAGTGGTGATGACAGGAAGCAGATATACAAAATATTCAATGCCACTGAAAGCTAGGAGGTAATGCTCATGCACTGTTTTAGCTGAAGTTAGCCATGTAAGCATTTCAGTTGAAGTACTTTTGATTCAATAACCAATGGAGAAAGTAGCTGACTCACATTCAATGTTGAGCTGCACCATGGCCTTTCCAGGGCCTGCTCGATTCTCTGCCTCACAGGTGAGGTTGTGCAGGTTGTCTTCAGATGACACGTTCCACAGGTGCAGCACCAGCTCCAGAGTGGAGCCCCATATCCCCCGCTACACACACACACACATCAGACATATAACACTGAACACAAGACTCCAATTTGTAGTGGTAAATGACTCTCACTTTTGACCAATGAGAGCAACTGCAGCATTTGCAATGTTCTGAATGTTTGTATCATTGCGTTTTGAGCACTTAAATATTCCTGATTTTTCAAAATGTCAGCATTATTCAGTGGTTGAGATGTAAACAGAGTGATTCAGAGTGGTTTGATATGAAATGGTTCATTTGTAGAGAAACAAACGAAATCAGAGTTTTTACAGTGGTGGTGACAGAAACCAGGGGTCATGATGTTCACAACACAAATATGGCCATTTTATGCACATACCCGCCTAATCTTATTTACATCATTAAACTCAACCTAAAAAAATAATAATTTGTGCAGTTGCTGTTTGCAGTTCGAAGTGAAAATCGTCAGATTCCGATCCTGCAGCCTTATTAGTACCATGAACAACTTTTTGACTTCTAAGAAAATGTTCTAGGAAAAACATTACAATTTATTTACAGTAAAAGCATTTGGGCAGCTGAACATAATCAGTAAATGTTTATTGAAAACAAGTATTTTGTAGCACACATTCGTGAATCATTTGTGAATGATGTAGCCTGATTGCTATGGAAAGCAGAAAAACTAAAAGTAACTGCTTTTTACTGTTTTGCTCCAGTGTTTAAAAGTTGAAGAAGACTTCATTGTTAAGTGGAATAGCTGTAGTTTTGAATTTGGGTAAAATGTCCTATTATATGTCAGTAAATTTTTCTGTTCTTTTCTAATTATATGGCGTTACTCAAAGTTAATATGTGTGGTAAAGGACTTCACGCTATACACACAGCACATAGATATTAGTTTGAAAAATATTACGAGAACTTCTTTAAAAAGTTGGTTGAAAACCCCAAATAATGTTGGACAGTACCTGCAGGGTCCAGTTGGAACGGAGCTGCTCTGTTATCCACCTAATCGTGGGGACCGGTGCACCGGTCACTTGGCACTCAAACGTCAGATTTCCTCCCTCCTTAATGGTCCGAACGGGCGCATTGACGGAGACCTCTGGAACACCTGAACAATAGGGGACATTTCAGATTAAAGTCCTATGGAAAAGTTTGAACACACCTGTTTTTTACTTTTATAGGTGAAAATAAGACACATCCTCTACAGAGAACACACTGAATATGAATATATATTTGCTCATATCTAAGCAATATATGTGCAATATGTGATATTTTAAAATATGTATGCTAAATTATTTAACTGTGCCATTTTTGAATATTCAAATATAAGCCAGTATATGCACATATGTCAAACATACGTAGACGGATCTGTAAAAGCATAAATTTTGTTTTCAGTATTAAAATTTATGTCAAACGTATAGAAATGTATGACACTATTTTTTACTTTTATTTTTTTCTCTATATTTTTCCAAAACTATATTTTGAAAATATATGTAAATATATTTCTTTTGCATATGGGCCAATGTGTTAAATCGAGTAAATAAACAGCAATTGACCATTAAAATATTCAGTTTGTTCTCTGTGTTAACCTTAATGTAATTTCACCAGGAGTGCCCAAACTTTTGCACACGACCGTATCTGTAAATCACACAATTACATTGGAATTAGGGGTTGGTGATATGATGACACATTATCATTATTCATATCACATGAACACTGTGCACTGACAAAATTGATGTACTGCATTGACCTGATTCAGCTGTGAATCACATGAATAAAATATATTAATATAAAATTTTTATTGCCAAATGAAAGTAAACTATAGGATAAAACTGTGCTGATGTAATACATTTCATTCAGGTGGAAATGATGCACACATTTGAAACAAGCAAATTCAACGCAGAGCTTTTTTCACTGTGCCAAATAAAAGGACTTGGAAAAACGGTACGTATTTCATGTCATTAAAAACTGACTCAGACAGTATAACTGGCCCTGTGTAAATAGATACTCAGTACTGTGGAAAGATCTGAGATCATCCTTCATTTATCTCATTTCCAGTCCTTCTCCTGTAATTTTTTATGAGACTTGCCTTCAGTCTTTCAGAGAAATCTGCAGGGATATTTTTCCACCCCACCCAAATCCAAACATATTCAATTATGTTAAGGTCTGGGCTCTGAGGTGGTCAGTCCATTCTTCTGAGAACAGTGTGGAACAGAGTAGAGCTTGATCTTCTCCTCTCTCTCAAAGATGAAAGCTTTAAGTGCTGTTTATCTGATGGGGACAGTTTTGGTGTCTACTAGGTCTTCCAGGTGGTTGTTAGGAGCCCCATTTTCTCTGTTACTTTAAACAATTTGATTAAAAAAACTTATTTTCCATTGATTTTCCTCTTCCTTTTGCAAGTGGATTATGTTGGATCTAATCTCCTCCAAAATATCTTATGAAAACTGAATAACATAATTAAGGGCATTTTGACTGGAAATTACAGGAATAGTTTGGCAGAAAAATCAAATTTACACAATTTTCCCTTTATCCCAGGTACAGTCGATTGGCCAAGACATGTTTGGCATCCAAATGTTGCTTCTTCTGTTTAGAACTGGAGCTAGGAGGCAAACACTGCTAAGAATCACTAGAACTCAATGGTCACCCAAATAGCCCAAATTGTTTCAGTAAAAATACAAAACTTTTCTCAAACCACATCCAGGCCTTTATTAAGGTTGCACAGACTTGCCGATGTGGTTTACAGCACAGTATGACTTACCATGAGCTATAAAAATAATAAAATAAAACCTTAAGGCTATGGGAAGACATTTCAGACAACACCAGGACTGATCTTGGACCAGACTGCTCTGCATTTATGATGGTCGTTCTCACACATGCTGATTCTAGATCAGCACTCCCACTCCTGAGGTAGTTTGTGAATACAGACCTTGATTTTGAAAGTGGCTGCCTGCAGTTTTGTTCATTTTTATAGCTCACAGAAAGTCATACTGTGCTCTAAACCACATCAATAAGTTCTTAATGAAGACCTTAATGAAGACCTGAATGCTGGAAAATTGAGTAAATGTGATTTTTCGTCAAACCATAACTTTGAATAAATGAAAGGTGGTCCCTGACTGTTGCCCAATACTGTAGTGAGGCACTGTATGTAAAATATTGAATAAAAAATTATGAACATAGTATTAACTGCATTTTTGAAATGTAGCACTACTGGTGCGAAACAAACCTCAGAAAAATGAAATATTGTGAAACGTATTGTGTATTGTTAAATTATCTTCCGGTATTTTTGATATTACTATGTTATTTGCCATATCGCTCACCTGTATTTGGAACTGGCATAGTCGTACTGCAGTGTTCTAAGAGGACTGTTCATTGTAAACAGTAGTGAACTGTGACTATTAGTGCTAGGCCTTCAGTTTGGGCCAACAACAAAAAACACTTCTACAACAATGGTAATTTCTGCTAGACCCCCTATGGTATTTTAGTGTGTTAGCGCTAGGCTAACGTTGGTGCACATGAACAGTTTTTGGTCATTCTAGATTAAACACAGACATTTAAAGCTTGTGAAAGACATTAATGTATGTTACCTTGTAGTTGTTTTACAGTGACTCCTTCAGTAAAGAGCCCTGCCGCTGTTTTCTGTTTCTAACAACTAACTGAAACATGGTTAAACTCCTGAGGTCAGTGATGTATCTAGAACTTCCGGAAGGCCTGGAGTGATGTTTTTTCTCTTTCAACATAAATCAAAACGTAATTGGTTGATTCTACTCTCACTTCCTAATTATGTTGGGAGTTAATATAATGTTTAAGGCCTTCAGCTGAGCTCTTGAAGCCAGCCGGCTTGGCTGTATCTACCTAGATACCTTTAGATATCATGTGTGATGGTTTACCTTATGAAATTCATTATTAATTATTCTAAATTTGATGCCTGCAACGCATTCCAAAAAAAGCTGGGACAGGAGGATGTTCACCACTGTTGTCATTCTTCTGTTTTACAAGTCTTTAGCTGTGCAAATGTAGAGGGACTTTGTTGTCATATTTTCAGCTTGATAAGACCCATTTTAATGGGAGACAGTTCTGGACTGCAGGCAGGCCAGTCTAGCACCTGCACTTACTAATTACACAGCCATGCTAGTGTAACGCTTGAATATTTCTTGGTGTTGTCAGGTTGAAATAAGCATGAGTAGCCCTGATAAAGACAGCCTTGAAAAAGTTCAGCCCTAGTGGTGACTTTACAGATGTGCAGGTTACCCACTAATAACTGCATACAATGACAGATCCTGGCTTTTGAACTGGTAACAATCTGGATTGTGGTTTTCTTCTTTGGTCCAGAGATGTTCATTATTTCCATAGGCAATGTGAAAGGCTTGGCTTGTCATACCACAATACACTTTTCCTCGGTGCATTTCCTCAGTCCATTTCAGATAAGCTAGAGCCCAGAGAAATTGGCAGCGTTTCCGGATGTTGTTGATATACGGCTTCCGCTGTGTATAGTACAGTCTTAACTTGCATTTGTGGATGCAGCGATGAACATTCACAACATTGTTGTGTATTCACAACAGAGTCCATGTGGTGACATCCATCACAGAAGCATGTCTATTTTTAATGCAGTGCAGTCTGTGGGGTCGAGAGGTCACAGGCATTCAGTTGTGGTTTTCAGCTTTTTCCTGTATGCACTTTTTTTTGTATGGACATTTTTTCCAGATTACCCAAATCTGTTGATAATATTATGCACTGTAGGGCGTTGCATTCCCTCAGTGGGGAAAAATGGGCCTCATTCACCAAAATCTTCCGAAGTTTTTCTTAAAGTTGCTCTTGAGAAGTGTCCTAAGAAAAAGTGTACATCGGATTCATGACATATTCTTAAACTGCATAATTGTTCGTACTTTTGTGCTCTGGAATGTGTGTAGATTCTGTTCTTACCTAAGGACAAATCCCAAATAGGAAAACATTGGTGAATGTCAGAACCTTTGTGAGTTTTAAGAAGAAATTTCTTCTTAAGAATGGTTTATAAATGAGGCCCATTATTTTTAAACAGCTGGATTTTTTGTTGATGCATTTTTGGCAAAGTGGCGAGCCTCCGCCCATCCTTGCCCATAAAGGACTAGGCCTTTCCTAGATGCTCCTTTTCTATCCAAGCTTGATTGCATCACCTGTTAACCCCTTAAAATCCTTATTACGTACTAAGCCTTAATATTCAGTAACTACAGGGACTTCAATACAAACTGGTTGAGCTGTTTTTAGGTTATAGAAGTGTGTAATAAAACTGCCCTCTGCCATTTAAGGGGTTAAAGATGTGTTTCGACATTTTACAATGTACCTAGTCTAAATTTTCCCATTGCAACTTTTTTGCAACACGTTGCAGGCATCGGTTTTAGAATGAATGTATATTTACAAAAAACAAATTTGATAAAACACTAAATATCTTGTCTTGCACTGTTTTGTTGAAATACAGGTCAAAGTAGATTCACTAATCACTGCTTTCTGTTTTTATTTGCATTTTACGTACTGTGCCGATTTGTTTTTTTTAGATCTCAGAAATAATGAGGCCTTCTCTGAGGGTCTCTGAATGTTCCCTAAAGCAGGTTTTACTCCTCTAATATGTGCACTTACTGCAGTTCTCCATCACAAAGCTGTCCAGCTGAATGCTGCTGCCGTTGTATCTGCAGCTCTGCTGACTGTCGATGTCTACTTGCTTTGATCTTTGCCACTGCTGTAACCAGTAGATATCGCACGAGCAAACAAGAGGGTTATCCCTCAGAACTCTGGGAAAGAAACATAAAATGTGAGTAGATGTCTGTTGGATTGGTTCTATTGTCAAATATTTTGACCGGGATGCATGTTCAGCGACACTGACTGAACCCTTTAACATAACAGTCATAACTGTAGACTAAGGTTTAACCTCAAGTCATGTACATTTACTCATTTGGCAGCTGCTCTGAATTTTTCGCAACTTTTTTAACCTTTTAATCACGTTACAGAAGTAGGCAGTAGCAGTGTTAGGAGTCTTGCCCAAGGACTTTTATAGATATAGCATGGTATTCCTGCCCAAGTGGGGAATCAAACCATAATCTGCTGCACAGACAGCAGTAGTGTTACCCACTAGATTTTTAAAGACAAGTTCTAAATTCTATATTTACTGGATGAAACTGTTGTTCAACGTGCCAAATGTGTCAAATGTGGAACACTGAAATACCTCGATTTCCCCTTGTTTTGCTTAATTATGAAATTTTCAATCATTTGGATTTTTTTATTACAGTCATTTGCAAAAGTTTGAATACCCCCAGTCAAACTCCATGTTTTGTTAATTTTCTAAGTGAAAATAGGTTTCACTCTTTTTTTTTCAGAGAAAAATAAAAGTTTTTTTTCAAAAATAAAAATATATAAAAAGTGGGTCCGTGGTCATTTCTGTGTGGAGTTTGCATGTTCTCCCTGTGTCTGCATGGGTTTCCTCCCACAGTCCAAAGACATGCAGTCAGGCCAAATGGACACGCTGAATTGCCCCTAGGTGTGAGTGTGTGTGTGATTGTATATGTCTGTCTGTCTGTCTGCCCTGCGATGGACTGGCGACCTGTCCAGGGTGTATCCTGCCTTCCGCCCAATGACAGCTGGGATAGGCTCCAGCACCCCACCGTGACCCAGAAGGATAAGCGGTTTAGATGATGTATGCATGTAATATAAAAAGTGCCTTACCTTTTGCACAGGCTACATTTAATGTTTTTTTGTTAATATGTTAAATTCAGTTAATAAACAGTAATTATGCATTAAAATTTGGAGAAGTGTGTTCTCTGAAGAGGATGTGTAACTTATTTTCATGTAGAAAATCAACAAAACATGTAATTTGACCAGGAGCACTTTTGCATACGGCTTTATCTTTACGGGGTCTGCCTCTAATCAATACAAAAGAGTAAGAATATTGTATTGTGAGCATCATTAGAACTGTATTAAGTTTAACTCTGAGGTTTAGCTCAAAGGCTTGCCAGTATTTATTTCAGATACCAGTCAAATAAGTCAGTTTAGTGAAACTCTGGAGAAAACAACCTTGTAATGAAGACAAATTAAAGAAAGAAAGCAGCGAAAGAGTGAACAGAGTTTTACTCACAGGTTTAGGAGAGGAAGGGAGTGGAACACTCTCCAGCTGATGTGCACAAGTGAGTTTATGGCCAGGTTCCTAAACCAAGAATTGGGAAACAGTAGAAACAGTTTATGCATTAAATTCACCATTTTAATTATATTCAGTTCTTTACTCTACTGAAACCTACGGAAGACCAGAGAGGCTATGAGGTAGTTACACATTTCTGGATTGTTTTCTTTAAATAACGAGTTAATTATTTTGTTATCTCAAGATAACAAAGTTGTTATCTTGAGATCACAAGATAATTAACTTGTTATCTCAAGATATCAATCCAGAAAATTATAGCAACAGCTCATGGCCTTTTCAAGCTTCTGTAGAAACCTACCATTATTGTTTTATGTCATGTCATCATATTTCATATTTATATAACCATTTTGCAAACTCTTTTAAACCTTTGGAATTAAACAGGCTGTTTTTGTTTCTATGCTCTTAAGACTGATAAATATAAATGACCTCTCTTCAGATTGGCTGCCCTACTATGCCTAGTTCTAAAACATGCAGTTACAACACCCCCTATCTTGGTAAATGAGCAAACTACTAAAAACTGCTGACTCAGCGGTCCTATGTGAATATATTCATGGCTGTGACATCACAACCATGGCGTTGTTTGTTTTTGCAACTTGTTTCCATATGTCTGCTGTATGGAGGGTGTACAGGTGAAACTAACAGTGTTTACATAGTATATCAAAGTCTTTTCTTCGAAAAACCAAGCTGGCAAAATTTATCTAGACATGGGCCCTTTTAGGCAGCCAGACCCTGTTTCTAAGACATTATATATCTCACTAAGGATGGACTAATGCTTAAAGATGCCACAGCATTTACTATGATGCAACAATTAGACACTATATGATCTCCTGCCAGGATGTCAGACTTTGCGATATCATAGCCTGGACTGGCAACAGAGCTACATTATAGTTCCCATTAAAGATAAAAGCAAATAATTCATATCCTGCATTTTAAAAAACATTGGCATGCTTCTTGGTGTTTGGCACATTAGCAGATTAGCCACCGCAAGACAGAGAAGTTTGCGCCTGGGCTGAGTTTCATAAGCTGGATGAAACAGCTTTGTGTCCTGAAGGCAAGACAGGCCTCATGTGCGAAAACAACCGAGAGTTCATGATGATTTACTGCAGGCCGCAAACAAACAGCTTCGAGTTTTACTTTCTGTAAGTACTTTCCATGTTTAATGCTACGAGTAAAGGAAACAACACCACAAGTCATTTTTAGTACCACATGAGAATCACTGACCATTAATTTTGTGGTTGTCGGCTAAGACGCTTCTACTGTTATGCTAAAATCATCTGATTATGACTTTTGAATGGCCTCCCTTTGATATGTTGTTCATTTTAAACTGCCATGTGGTCGTCTGACAATATGGGATCAGCAGATGAAAATGAAGGCTTTGAAGCAAAACTTCAGCAAACTAAATGTTCTTCTTACCCTGAATAGACATGCTTTGCACTTAAGCTACAACACCAATGTAGATAAGTAACAGAAGCTCAGTTACAAATTAGCATTAGCACTACAAGCCTAAATTATCACATTTGCTCAGGCTGCTAGTTAGTAAGCTAATAAATAATCTCAGATAGTCTTGCTTATGTGGTTTCTGACACTATATGAAAAACTGTAACAAAGTAAACTGTAAAAATGGACAAAAGTACAGATAAAAGCAAGATAGCCGCTACTACTGTTTTTAGCTATGACATACTGTTGTCTGATGCTAACTGGGGTGTTAGCTTCCATTACTTGTTAGCTACATTAGCCTCATAACTCCAGTAAACTAAAGAAGCGAACTTTAAACCTCTTGGCTGATTGATTATGTTTGGGAAAAGGGGGAAATTGAGTAAATGAGTGAGGGCATAAAACAAAAACCTATTATAGGCTAAAGCCGTATTTGGACAGGATTAGTTTTACATGAGGAGATGGAGTCATTATTACTTTACTAGCATTTCTCAGTGATTTAGCCCTGCCTGAATGCGCCATGTCAGTCATTATTACCATCTGTGCGCTCTCGCTTTACTTCCAGCGCCTTTTACCTTCAATTACCAAGCAGTAGAAATAACCTCAGGTTTTATTAATCCTGTGCAAATCGACATATCAGTAAGAATGCTGATGACGTGAGAAAGGAGTTTCTTAAGTACGGAGGCACTCAAATAAACGTTCACTTTTGTTATTTGCGGCTATAATTATGTACCCAGTTAGCAAAATTTGTCTGGCTCGCCTGTGGGCCACATCCTTGGTTTGTTCTGGCCCAGTATACGGCTTGGTTCTCGGCCCAGATCTGACCCACACACTGTAAAGTGAGTAGAACTAAAGGATATGGCCCAAATCTGGTCCCAGTCTGGCCCAACTACATTGTTGGTCCACAATATTCACGCCAGAATTGTCCCACAAATGTAGGCATGAGGCAAAACAGTGTGAAGCTGTCCAGGACCTGGCCCTATTCTGGCCCACATGCCTGACATCTTCCCGGTAGACAACCAACACTCACATAGGAAAGCCAGAATAGGCCCAAAACTATATAAACTAGCTATCTGGCTAACGTTACTGTCTTACCTCACAAGTACAACATTACAGAAAAACATTCGATTTTGTGTGGTGAAGTTGACTGCTTGCTGTGAATTCCTAAGCTAATACAATGGTAATGACATGCTGCATTCACTTAAGAAGGCAAGGTAAACAGGGTATGAAGTAATGGCTAAATTAAATGTTCATTTTCTATACTTTGTGGAGTAAAACTAGTGTTTAAATCGAGCAGCCACTCATTTCTGTCATTTATACTAAGATTTCTTATCCCCTGTGATTCGGTCATTACAGACGTCCTTGAACTGGTGAAAAATGAACCTTGTTTTCAAAAATCACCTCCGTCACACTCTGTGATAGAAATGCTCAGTCCGATATGTTTTGTCCTGTGTACCTGTGTCACTGGATCCTCTGACATTGTCTAGCAGTCAAAATACAAAAAATGCTACATACATGCTACAAGCAAGCTAACACGTGTTCGCATTGAAACAATGTTTCATGAAAGTAGGTCTACTATTTAAACTTCAGCACTTTTGTATACTAACACTCGCTACTCAAACTGTGTGCTACCAAAGTCCTTTTAGGAAAAGTCAGCGGCCATCGAAAAGTCTGTTCACTCAAGCAACACCACTGGGCAGTTATTTCAAGCCATACCAGACTCCTATCTCTTTGAATGGGGAGACCAAAAACTGAAGGCCAAATTACTGTTTAAAAAACATTATTGAAATAACCAGTAAAGTCTGATAAAAATCTCTTAAATAGTTTGTAGTCTTTGGCTCAAAAACACACAAAAAACATGATTTTTCAGGTTGTTCTGGCTACTTAGCTTGCGCAGATCTCCACAACGGTTGGGGGGGGTGGGAGGTTGGCTTTCCTCGCTCGCATCACAATATCGACCCTTCTCCAGCAAGCTGATTGGCAGGACTTTCTCCTCAAACAGGTGCCATGTTGAGCGTTACAAGCTTTCACATTCATATTTGAACCAGCGACTGGCCTCCTCATTTATAACATCTCTGGTAATACTACTGTCAAAGCAACTTAACCACCACATTTGACAGAGCTTGCTGATTTTGTTTGGGTATTTTGGTGAGCTTGCTCATCTTATGATGCCAAATCAGTGTGCAGCAGTTAGCATGTAGCAATATTTGTATTTCATCTCCTTAACACCCTCATAATTCAGAGGATCCAGTGAAAATGTACATACGGCAAAATGTATTGAGTTTGGAACATGGCAGCCTATTTTCAACACAGCTTTAATTTCTCCCGTAGAAAAAAAACAGTTTAGACCTGGAGTTCCTAATGTGGGCATAATGCTGACTACAGAACGCTAACCCAACTACGGATATTCAACAATCTATATAATATACAAAGGTATATAATCAATAAATGGTTGCCAGATTTGGTAAAATGTTTTCTTTTCTAAAAGTACACTACAGTTCAATAGCTTGGAATCACTTGTTATGTTAATAATTGTTATTCGATAATAAATTATATAGTGTAGATTTAAATGTTCATGAAAAATATCATAAAACCGTTCAGTTATTCACACTAAAGTATTTTTGGGAGAATTTATGGGAATAGAGAACAAATTTTTATTTATAGTAATTTTGATATTAATTCTATTATAAGTTACTTCACAATGCTTTACAGCTTTCTCAATTACTGTGAATCATCTACAGCTCTGTTCATTGTTGAAAATGTCCTAATTATTTTACAAAGTGTTTAAAACACAGAATATTAGCGTCATATTAGAATCACTACATACAGGTATTGCAACAAAATTGGTTTCATATTAATAAAACAGTGATTCCAAACTTTTGAGCAGTAGTATAGTTGTATATTTCAGACATACATATTCCAAACTATCGCTTTAAGGGCAGAGCGGCTGGTGGCACTGGGGACGGAGCACGCTTCAGGGATACAGATTCTCTGTGGCAGGACTAATGGGGGCCAGCAGGGGTTCAAATATTTGTTTTCCTCGTTTCCAAAAGTTCATGTCAGATGGGTTAGCCATCAGGGCCTATCTATTACCGGCTCGATTCCTCCCCAGTGCCAGGGGGGTTTGGTGGGGGCTGCAGGGGGGACAGCAGCTGCCACCAAGTACTGGAAGAAGGAGGAGCACTGGTGGCTTGTGAACAACTACTAACACTGCAAAGATTCAGGGAGATCATTTAAATGAAACAATACAAATATCCCTCAGCCATCTTCCTCACTGTAGCCTGTACTTTCTTAGCCCTCAACCCCCACCCCCCACCGCTCCACAGCAATGCCCCCCATCTTAGAGACACATCTGCTCCCACTACACATCGCTCTGTGAAATATTGATTAAGTCATAATGGACCCTTAGTGGAGTGTATTTATTATGCATCAGCTGTCAATAAGACGCCAAAGTGAGCGAGTAAAAGGTGACTGCTGGATGTCGTCTCCGGTTTCATCAGGGGGAGACTCCCCCCGCCATTCTCCACCATTCCCCCCTCCACCGCCACTTTCCCCAAACCCCATGTCACCAGCTCCTCTCTGACCGCTATCACCCCTATCAACAACACCGAGCCGTGTCGCACAGGCAGTGGGGTGAAGACGACAAGATGGTCAAGATAAGGGTCAGTCACTTACAGACGGCTCACAGCACAGATCTGCCTTTGTCTACATGTGGACGTTAATAGCAGGCTGACCCATAATCTCCACTCTTAAAAACAGAGATGCCACAAGAGACCATGGAGGAGCCACTTTTGGTTCCCTAAAGAACCATTGTTGAAAAAGATATTTGTAAGTGTGAAGAACCTTCACATAAAGGTTCAACACTGATTCCTAGAAAAGTTCTTCCTTTTACATTATGTGGAAATTCTTTAAACTTCAAAAGGTTCTTTACACTCACACATCTCATGTACAAAAATGGGTTCCTTAAGAACCATAGATTGAAGGTTCTTTCAAACATGCTTCCTCTCTGGCATGGCAGAGAACTTCTCAAAGAACCGTTTGTGGTCCTTTATATATGAATAAGACCAGATATTTCAATTTTCTAGATTTTTGTCTAAATGAAATCTTGTTAGTGAACTCTAGTTGTTATTATTATTGATATTATTATTATGAATATTATTATTATTATTATTTTTCCTGAAGGTCCCCTGATAGCAAAAGGATAGTGGACCACTGGTGGCCCATTGATGGCAGAGCTGGTGCTCCACCAGTGTTTTGCTCAGCAGTAATAGACGAAATTCCACTTATCATTGCTTATTTTACACTTCAAATTACTAATTTATTCATTTTTCCTTCCTTCCTTTTTTTAGTTATTCTTTCTAAGTTAGTTTAATACATAATTGTCACACTGTGTTTTTCGAACACTGTTTCAAGCTGTCCATCTCCCTGTTGCTAAGCAACAGTAGCGTCATAGCTGTCCGTGGGCTGTGCTGGCTGGCTAGGGTTAGCAGCTGCAGTTTGTTCTGGCAGCATTATTTGTATGAATTCAACGAAAAACCAACAAGTCAAATACAATGAAAACAGTATCTCTTATTTTCTTTGTGAGTTTCTTCTCATTTCAGTCATGGCCAGTTCTACCTGCTTGCTAGGCCTCCCCCATCAAAAGATGCTACCAAGCTGGGAGAGTGAAGGTTAGCACACGTGACGCTCCACCACATCTTCTCAAACTGCCACTAACATGGGCTCACTGGACAGACACTTGGAGAAGAAAGTTAACTGCTAATTCTGTTGTCAGTTAACAGACGTGTTGGCTAGCATCATGTTGAGTGATGCAGGGAGAAGGAGGGCCATCCCTCCCACACAAAAAGGGAGCGAGACCAGACTCCTGGCCACAGACTGACCTTGCAGTTTCCTTAAAACAGGGCCAATGCTTAGGCAGAAAGTAATATCTCATGCTGTAATTTCTGGGAGTCTATGCTTTAAGGTTTCTTTAAGCTTTAAAATGGCAGTTGCATTTTAAATCATATTGGCTTAATTTTCCATAGTGTATTGTGTACTTGGGCTGACAATTACTGACTCGGATTTCCCAAAGGAAAGAATAATTCTATATGAGACGCCCTCTTAATCTCACTAACTTCTCCTAGATATGACTAAGTTTTATTATCGTTACTTTGGCAGATATCACATCTCTAAAATTTGACACGTTGATGAAGATATTGTTTTACATATGACTGAAAGTCCCAGGAAACACAAAATGTTTGTGTGATACTAAAATTGAGTGTTTCAATAAACTAAATCCAGCATAATAATAATAATAATAATAATAATATTAAAAAACCCTGCTTATCAGACTGGGAATTGTCTGGCTGTGGCCTGATGAGCAGGCATGATTGACAGCCCTCACTCCCAGCATTCCCAGCCTGTAACACCACTAAAGCAGACCCAAACAAAACAGCGTGAGCCAGTGTCTGAGAGAAATGAGTGAAACGGGCTAACAAGTGGTGCCCTAGGCCCCCCTGTGACCGTAGCTCACCAAAAATGTTATCCAGCTTATGACAACGTCTTAAAATGGGAAAAATTCTTATTCACTTTACAGGTGAATGTTTGTCCAGGTAATGCTGGCCGGTTGACTGAACGAATGGACAAATGGATGCCCTTGCTAGCTCAGTAAGTCAGCTTTTGTTCATTGTTAGCTTTTTTCATGCTACGTTTCTCTGATTTGCAAAGAGAGAAAGTAGCACAGTCTGGTTAAAGTTGTGTAGGTCGGAGGAGCCACATCCTTGTGATTGATGAGGATACTACCCAAGATTAGGAGTGCTGAGTCTACATCGACGGTGGAGAATTTTGGTAAAATACATCAGCCATTTAGTGGACACCGGGAAGTTATTCACAGGACCTACTTTGTACATGTATATAATAGCATTTAACACTAGGAAAGAGACCCAGCTTAAGCACAAGTTGTTGTGCTTTATTAAAAGGCTGTACTTGGCCACAGCCACGCCATACAGGAGAGCTTTCGTCAAGCAATTCACTAAAAGCCTTGCTACATCTTGCTTCCTGACGCTGTCTACTGACAGATGCAGTGCTTTCTATTCTAATGGCACACACTACAGGTTACCCCACCTTCACAATAAGAGTCCTTGTCCAAATAACCCAGTTAATAAAGAAGAACTAACACTCTAAAACTAACACATAACATTATGAACATGCTACTATACACTGTGTTCCATATTATTATGCAAGTGATATCGCAGTAGGATTTCAGTATAACGAGCATTTAGTTTTTAGTTTTTCAAATAAAGTCATTCTTTGTCTTATTTCTCATATCTTGTTAGATAACAGATATCAAAAATGGCATGTGCATAATAATTTGGATATTGTGTGACTGCTAGAGCAAGATTAGCCTACTATTCCTTAGAAAGAAAACATGGATTTAAGTTCTCTACACTGTTACAAATAAAGGTTCTGTGCTGGTATATTTTTCATTCATCAAGGTACAAACAATGTAAATGTTCCCTCAAAGTACAACAGCGATTTTAAGGTCCAACTGTGTATCTTAAATAAGTTTTTCCTAGTGTAAAAGTACATATTTGTGCTTTTCGCAATCTAATGTTTTAAAACTGTTTACCGTCTCTTTAATGTTATTGCTACACTATGGGGTCTGAGAGTAACGCAATTTCTGTATGTCCTGTACATATTGTAGTATTGACAATAAAGCTGACTTGACTTGACTTGAAAACAGAACAATAAAATAAAAAGCCTGGAGATGAGACGGGGTGTGTGGAGTCAAAACAACTTAGAAAATATAATTTCAATCAATTATGGTACAATTATGTTCCCTGACGAAAGGTACTGAAATGTACCCAGTGACAGGAGGGGTACTGCCCCAGTGAGAGTTTCATACCTTTTTCTTTTTTTTAACTATTTTGTGTTTCACTCGTCTCACCCCAGTTTAAGCTCAATGAAGGTGTAACATCTCAGAAATCTTTCAGCAGTCCATCAGCGCAGATGAAGACCTTAGGCTTTTCTCATTCACTGCCAGAACTTCTTACAATGAAATTATTATCTCTTTCCAGAAATCAATGATCCTTCATTAATACAATATTGATTTCTCACTTGATCCAAGGGGTGAGGACTGAGAACAAGTCACCATTTGGGTCAGAAAGCGATGATCAGCAGTGATGGACGGTTGCAAACAATGACATGACAGCAGATTACGGAAAAAGGCAGGATGTTCATTTGAATAAAGACATTAAAAACTTACACATATTGGAGCTTGAAGTTGTTTTGGAAGGCATTATCAGAGATGAAGACCAGCCCGCAGTCTGTGACTGTGCTGTAAGAGAAACCACAAACACAAGGCAAACAAAGGGAATCTTACACGGAGTGGCAGCCAGTCAACTGATCGTATCTCTAGACACAGACATACATCAAGGTTGATTAATCATAATCATGTAAGTCAGGCCAAACAGATTCATGACTCAACCAACCACAGGAAACAATACTTAAAGTGACATGCGAAGAAGCTGGTGCCTCCTAGCTTCCATCCGCTAGCCACATTAGCATGTTTTTCTTAGGATATATTTTTCTGAGATTTATCTTTACCAAACATTAAACCATTTTAGCAAGACTGGATGTGTTTTGTGCTTCAAACTAGTCTATATTCAAAGATATTGAGGCACTCTGCTGTAGCCTACATTGAGTTTCCAGTGGTGCTAAGTTGCTAATGTGCTTGAAACTACAGATTTATTCCAAACTGTTCAGATACTCACAGGTTCTTCAGCTCTCTGTAGTTAGCAAGATCTATGTCTGTGATATTCTCCAGGTTGGACTGGTTCTCGATGTAGCTGGTAAATCAAAGACAAAAAGAAGCTTATTTAATATTTTAAGCAGTTCAAGCACTGAATAAGACTGTTGTTAGCATTCAGGAGTGGATCAGTCACTGCAAAATGCTTCAGTAGCTGCATATCAGTGTAGATTTTCCATCAAATAGGCCTTGAGTTGATATATTTCGACATATTTTATGAAAATAGTGGCTATTTTTTCCTACTGCACAATCAAAGTTTAAAGAACACTCTAAACTGATAAAGTGACAGGAAAAACATGCTAAAGCACATAAAACCACAACAACAGGATCAGGAATAATTCTAATATAGAGAAAGGCAGTAAACAGTAAAGGCCAGAGGTCACTGACCTCAGACACATGAATAAACATGGACTTCAATGTTTGCAGTTGTCCTTGGAATGTTCAGAAAAAAAAGTGACAAACCAAACAAACCAGAGTGAACAGGGGGAAAACATTTTAGAGCAGGGGTCTCATACTTAAATTATCCAGGAGTGACTAGCCAAGTCCCCTTTGAAAGGGGGGAAGTTAAAAAAAAAATTGCAGGAAAAAGTGTATCATAATACGATTTTTTTTTTACTAAATTATATTACATATTCACTCATTTACGTGCATCTTGATCAACATTTATGTTCTTTTTTTCACCACAATCACTACTACTTTTACAAAAACAACAACTACTACTAATAATAATAATACTACTAATAATAAAAATAATATTATTTATAAAATTGTATAATATATATATATATATATATATATACATTATAAATATAACGATTATTATTATCATTATTATTATTAATACTAGTAGTAGTAGAAGAAGTAATATTCAATTAAATCAAGAAAACTTGCGTTTAAGAGTAGAATTATATAGGACTCTTATTGTGGTAGCATTATTATTCCTGCTGAATGCGAGGAAAGTTATTGCGAGTGTTGGCAGAGTGGTTAATTCTGCGTTTTTGGTGGATTTGTCCTACGATTCTATTAATTCCTTATTTCTGACATGCTGTATCTACCACTACATTCTAGATGAATCCACAAAGGCAGACTTAACTAACTATCTGCCTGAATTAGAATAATAGCTAAATTAGTTATAACACATTTACAACCATATCCACTCTGTAACAGTCAGTGTTTAAGCTGTTTTAGTTTGAGTGGTTCTTCTTGTGTGCACCACTCTATTTTTGCTTGTAACAGCGTAAGAATAAGTAGAAGTAAGAATGATGCTGGTATGATGGTCAGCACCAATGTAAGTTAATTGGATCACCAGCAAAACTAGCCTTTGTTGTGTTTTGATGCTGGTATGCTGGTCAACCAGAATGACCAGGGTAGGATGACCAGCTTAACCAGAACCAGACTAGCACTAGACCAGCCTAAACCAGCATATACCAGCATCAAATGCTTGCTGGTCAGCGCTGTTTTTTCCAAAAACATATGCAGTACAGGCAGATTTAACTGTATCAAATACTGTGTTGCATGGCTCCTGTAACAGTATAACAAGAATACAGTAATAATACATCAAAACATACAGTATCATCAGTTTTACTGTAAAACTGGGACAGAGAAGTACTTTGTTGAAGGACCACCGTCTTCACCTCAACAATTTTAAGTATTCCAAAATTTAAAAGCTAAACGAGCTGCTTTAATAATGTGAACTAACAGTGGAAAAGTTAGCTAATATTAACCTAGCTAGCTAGCATGCTTGCTGTGATTTGTCATGGTGGCGCTAAGCTAATGCTGATGTACTTTCTCATGCTGCGTTTAATACTGTACAGCTCTAGCTCAAACACGGACTTTTGAAGATTGTAAGATATGCATTACATATTTTTACTTTGTATACTGCAGTTTTACAGTGAATCCTTTAGTAAATTAAAGCCTAAATGTGAGTATTATTAGAGGAGCCTGTTAACCTGTTAGCTTTACTCAGCTGGTTATATTTTCACAAAAACTTGACTCTTTAAGTGCAATTTAATAGCAATTTTAAAACTTCTGTTTCACTTCCAAATGTATGAGTGCATATATAACATTCATAAAAGAGCATATTGTTGATTACAGTGCTACACTGTTGACAACATGCAGTCTTGTAGTTTTGAGGGTTGTAAACATTAATAGCAGTATTTACGAGAGTTGTCTTGAAACTTTTTTAAAGGTGGACTAATAATCAAACACATTTGTTAATATTCTTTCAAAATGACTTGTTTTATGACATTAAGAAAAGTGCCACGTATCCTGTTGGTACTGAATGCAGGATAAATGTACTACCGCTGGAACCTTAAGGCATAAATACCCTCCCAGCTGAGCAAGGAAGATGATGACGACTATGATCTTATCTTATCTTCAAAGAAAGAAAAGAATGTTGTTGGTATTGATGGTGGTTATGATGAAGAAGAATATGATCTTTCATTTATCAACAATAAAAGTTCTTCTAATGGAAAATCTGCTGCCGTTTCTTAGCAAGACTCTTCAGTCCAGCATTTTGCTACACAGTCCAGAGCACAAACACATATTTATTTGTGTCTGATTGAGCCATAGGGCTGTAATGTAATTACAGGGGAGGTGGGATGAGGATCTTGAACCGCCCTCGCTTATTTGATTGAGCCAAGTGGGTAATATTTCATCTATTGTTCTCGGCTGGGCATTTGTCGGCAATTCACCGAATTGAATTTATGAGCATGATGCATGATGAATTCCTGCTGCCGGTATGGAGGTAATGGAGCCCCTAAGCTTTCTGCTTAGTCGGAGCTACGTTCCTGTTTTGTTTTAATGCATCTGCGTCTTCCCAACACATTGCAATTCACGGGTACAAGTGTTCGGTATAAACAGATGACTAAAGAGCATTCCGGGCTATTGATCGGAATGGTTGGTACAAATATCACCGCTGTGTGAGAGTTCCTCGAATCCAACACAGGCAAGTGTACAGAGAAAAAGCTGAGAAGTTTAGAAAATATCAGAGATGGTAGAGAAAGTGGAGAAGATGGAAGAGAGAGATGGTGCAAGGACAGTTTTTAAACATGTTGGATATCGTCAGCGTCATAATGAAACCTAATGAAACCATAATGAAACTCCCTTTTTTGGGATTTATTTTGTTACACCATTTAAAAGCACCAGCTTTTTACATTGCATGAGCATTTCGGCATAAAAGGACCAACAGAAATGGACTAAATTCACATTACATTTACATACTTCAAGGTTGAGAATGTTTCTTCCTTCTTCTATCAAGTTACCGCTTCTGATAAACAAGGTTTTCTGATAGTCGCACTACGATAGTGGAAGTTCCCATAATGGCCTGACTGATTCTCTGTTGGGGAGGAGGAGCACACTGTAGCGATATTACTGTATTACTCTGAAGAGGCTGAGGAGGGGTTTTCATCACTGTTTGTTATTTGAGATGCTCAGGTCTCAGAACTTCAGTTGGTACTAAACTCACAGTCCTCAAAAAGTCACAGTAACCGCTGATCAGTTCCCAGGACATGATGTTTAAACATTATGGAGATTGGAAACAAGACTGGAAATTCCTTTTAAAGCTATTAACCAAATTCAATGGCCTACTGTTCAAACCTGATGCTAATGTTACATCCAGTGATTGTACAGATGTATGTCTTCAACTTTATACAATGAACATGTGAAGCCTCAAACAGTTCTCTCAGCTCTGGCACTCTTTTGGTAGTTTATGTCTGGAGTTCCAAATTTTCAAGTAACCAGTGATTCAGTTTCTATCATATCTTCACAAAGTAAACATTTTCTGTGGTCCACATTCATCAGGAAGTGTACAAAGTGTACAAAGTCAGCCTGCAATCGTTACAGCACGTCTCAGAACCCCTGCAACAGGGTAATGTATTCATTCTTCTTCACTGATTGAAGTGGTTGCCAAGTACAAAGTTCACAGCCTTCGCAAACGCATGTATTAATGTATAATGGTATAGATTCCATCTGCAAGCATGCATCTCTCGTTCATGTGAATGCATGAAGGACATTTACCATGATTGAACTCTCCCTTTCCCTGGTTATTTTCATTTGCCCTACTTTCTAAGTGGTGCCTAAGTGTACTGAACAACACATCAAACTATGGCTGAACAAACTCAACGTTTCACAGCAGAACCTGCCAAAAGCTCCTGACCAAGTCAATTAGGCTTCTAATAACCAGCATAATTATGGCCAACTGTATGAGTCCAGCTCTAGTCCTGGAGGGCCGTAGGCTGGCACAGCTGGCTCAAGCACACCTGATTCACCAGAAAATCACTGGACTCTACCCTCTTCAGGCCCAGAATTGGACACTCTTCCAACTCACAGGTCATTCAAATCCCTCTACGGACAATTTCTCACCGCCTTCATGCACAGGAACCCCAGATAGACTCACATTTCTGTGACGTTTTCGCTCTCCTGTGGTGCCAGCGCCGGGATACTGGTGATGCCATCTTCTTCCAGGCACTGTAGCATGGCAAAGGAACAGCGGCAGGCACCTGGGCAGCCGCTAAGAGCGGGCTTAGCCAGGGGCAGCATCAGTGCCAGTGCCAAGGCCATCTGGCACGCAGCCTTCCCAGCCATGGTGAAGCTTAACCAGCAATCAGTTCAAGCACACTCTTCAGTGACCACTCTTCTTGCCGGCAATCAGGAAGGTAGCAGCTAGCAGCAGGTTCCACTCTTGGCAAAGACTTGTCTGGCTTGTGAGCTGAGGTATGGAGCTGCTGGAGCAGCAGTGAGGCAAGGGCCCTGGGGAACAGTTGGGCTGCTGCTGCCTCTCCTCTCCTCCCCTCGCTGCCTTCCCAGTCAGAGGTGGAGAGAGAGATGGGGAGGGGCAAGGCACTCCATTAGCTGTTGGGACGGGAGAGTGAGAGAGAGCGGTGGTCATCAGACACCTCCGGACAAGAGCAGGAGCCGGGCAGATGTGATTTGAGGCGGCAGGGAAGAGAAGGGAAGGGAAGGGGAAGGAGGCTGCAGGTGGACAGGATCGAGAGCAAGGCCACCACCTGTTAGAGCCAACAAACTGTGCGGAAGTGAAGGATCAGATATGTTTAAAGAGAAAACAAGAGGTAGAGAGAGAGAGAGAAAGAGAGATGAGACAATCACTGCCTGATGAGGCAAGCCATAGACCAAAGGATTAAACACAAAAAACGTCCCCAAAATGAAGACCACAGGTGGCAGTAGTGAGTATTAACTGTGAAAAGGCCGTAGATAAAGAAAATCCCAATCTCACAAAAAATCTCCAGGTCAGTTTAAACCAATTAGCTGGAAAAATGTACATAATTTCCATTTTACCCCAAATGTAGTTGAGTCAAGACGTGCTTAAATAGGGTGGCACTGGAGCTACAAGGGAAACGTAGCTAACAAGTAATAGAAGCTTATACCCCAAGTTAGCATAGCACAAACTGCATGCCTGAATTATGACGCAAATAATCTCAAATAAACTTGCTTGTGTGGCTTCTGACACATATGGCATGCTGTTATCTATAAAATGGACAAATGTTTGGACCACATTCAGACTTCAAGATGGCTGTTACAACTTTTTTTAGCTATTTTTTTGTCCTTTTTTACTTTTTGGAATATTGTTTTATTGTAATCAATGTAAAGGGTATATGGTACAAACTAACAAAAGGGGTGGGGGCCTTTATAGATGTCATCCTACATTGTGGTTATTAATATCATTACATTTATATAGAATAAAGTATATCCTATATGGATGATCCTAGTGCATTTGTTCAAATTCAAAGCTGAAAACACAGTTTGGACTTGGACTTTAGAATAAAATCCTTTTGCTTTGAGTGATTTTATTTTATTAAAATAAATGATTGAATGTTCCATTTTGTCACTACCAAAACAATCATGGCATGAGGGACAGGGATGCAGTCTCACTTCCTGCTGTAAAATGCAGGGGGTGTGGCTAAAATGAGGCTCCACCTATGGACTAAAACTCTTTGTGTTTTAGTATTGACATGAAAACGTAGGGCAGCATTTTTTGACATTTTTTTTGTTTAAAAATTAAAATCATGATAAATTTAAGTCTTTAATAAATAAATAAATAAATAAATACTCTAGTGTAAATTTAGGGTCAGGGTTTAAACACCCACTTCCCAATAGAAAGTACCCTATAAATGATGATATTGTATATATTTAGCTTATTACTATCTTGATTAATGTCTTAGGTTTAAAAAGATCATAAAACTATTTGCTCCCTGATGCCTGAGACATTGTTTTCTGATCATTTTGAGAAGGTTTTAGTCATATTTTTGAAAATATATTCACGTTAATATTTATAGTGGAGAGGTACACGCAGGGCGTTATAAGGCAAATTAGTCCTCAAAGAAAAGTTTTTTTCTGATCTACTAATATTTTACCATTATTTTACAACTTTTAACTCATAATAAATCTAAATCTTTCAACTTTACTTAAAAAAAGACCTGAAGATTAAAAATGTAAGTATTCTTTTCACAAGTCTATTTCTATTGGGAGGTGGCTCTAGAAATGATGTATATATTTAGCTTATTAATATCTCAACTAGTGCTTTGAGTTTAAATGGATCATAACATACTATTTGTAAATATCTAAGGTCTAAATACTTTTAAAAAAATTGGTGATGTAAAAACACAGAACACTCCGGCAGCACAGCACACAGAATGTGTTCGAACAAAATCTCGTCATTAAAATAAATGACCTAAAAATAATAAAATAACATAGTATGTTTGAGAAAAAGTGACAGAAAGATATGAGTCTTAAAGCAAGATTTAAGCTCGTCGGTGGTTTATGCAGCTGATCTCAGCCGAGGAGCAGCTACTGAAAACGAAAAACGCATGATCATTGTTGTTTTAATTGAGAGAGTGATGACAGTAAGCAGTAATTTATTGGCGGATCAGAGGCTCCTGCCAGAAGGGTATCATAGCACAAATGTACTGTGGAGCCCAGATCATGTAATGCCTTAAGAGCAAACAATACAATTTTAAGATCAATTCTTCACTTGACTGGAAGCTGGTGTAGAGATGCCAGGTGACACGTGAGAGGCTGTTTCTTTTCCTTGTCCCAGTGAGGAGCCTAACGGCAGCATTTTAGACAAGAACAATGAGGACTGGCTGACTCCATTATTGAGAGAATTGAGAGAATCAAAGCATTTTGTAATAAAAGCCTATAAAAATGTCTCCAGATCATTAAATGAGAAGACTTCAGTCTTCAGGTTGGCAATAGATCTCAGCTGATTACAACTACTCTAGTTTATTGATTCATCAAATTGAAGGAACTAGTCGAAAATGACCCAGAGGTTTTTAGCACAGCTGGATAAGTTAGAGGAGCAAGGCCTCACCAAGTTGTCACCAATGCTAACTAAATGTACTTAACTCAAGACTTAAGCCCTATTTAGACAGGGTTACTTTTACATGGGGAGGTAGGGTTATGGATTTTTACCACAGGATGTCTGTAATGATTCGCAGGGGATAAGAAATGACAAAGATGGCGGTGGCTACTTGATTTACTCAAAAAGAGGGTAGAAAACATGTTAAAATATTAAATTTAGCCATTATTCCATGTACTCTAAGCATCTGCCTTGCTGTCTGAAGTGAATGCATTACTTTGCCATTAGCATTGCCATTAGCTTGGGACTTCAAAGCCAATAGTCAACATCACCACATAAAAACATTTTTCTGTTATTTTTATATCTTTTAAAGCTGTGAGTTTGCGGTAGGACAACACATATCAGCTTGAATTTTGACAGAAAACAGAACTAAACACTTCATCAAGTGCCTTCATATTTAAGAAACTCTGTTTCCACAGTATATGATAGCATTTTAGCGACATGATTCTCAGGAGATTCATACAATCTGGGGTTGTTTCCACTGCTCGTTTTATAGAAGGTGAAAAGTGCCAGAGTCTTTACTCCTGTAAACGGTGATAAAGTGTGCACAATTTTTAAGCCATCATTTGATCAATGTCAAACCATCTATCAAACAATTGATAAACATTAAGTCTTAGCTTCGCTAGCATGCTATACACCCTGCTCACCACAGAACATGTTGGACTCTGGCTAACTAAAGCACTGACACAAGTTTAGATGACCAAAAATAATGATTAAAATCTGAGGGAGTGAAGTCGAGCAGCCGCTGAAGGGACAGAAAGGCCAAATTAAACCTGTTCTGTGTTGTTGGGATCTGTAGCCTGATAAGCTTCCTTAACATTAGCTTAGCAAGCAGGCTACAGACCCAAACAGTGCTACCATCTCAGTACAGGTTCTGTAAATCTGTGCTCTGCTGACACAAATTTAGATGATAACAATGTTTGTGAGAGTAAAACCAAAGTGACAGTAAGCCAAAATTGAACTCTGGTGTTTGGGAGAGAGCCAAACATGCCACACCACAGCACAGCATGGGCTCAGTTGTAGCTAACTGATGCTAAAATGACACCCATTTAGAGGATAGTGCAAAGTCAAGTGACTGGTGTTGGAGTAAAAGCTGACATCAAACGTGTTCTGTGGTGTGTGCAGAAAATGTGTGGTTCTAATATGTGTAGCTCTTTGCTGTTGCTGAGCTGCTAATAATAATAAAATCTATGAATATAACAGGGTTTTAGTCACTTAAAAACAACTCTCACTGGTTAGTGCTGGTTGTCATACCTATTAGTCCACAGATCCTGCTGTATTTTTAGCATTTCTGACAGCAGTCAGGGTTGCCAGGAACAGCAAAAATTTCCAGCTCAAATTTAGTTTCAAAGCTACGTGTTGTAAGTTAAAACTGCATTTTCAAACTAGCCCATCTTGGTGGTAAATTGGTTTTATAAGGGGATTTTTTTTGACCAGGGAGATGGCATCCCCTCTGCATCCATAACCCCTGAAATCGAGTTCTGCTACTTTCTAATAAAGTAATGAATAGACTTTTGGATTACCAATTCACATTCGGGTTGGTTTAAGAGTGTAACATAGACGTAATGAGTAGTGAAATTACTTTTTCCAAGAAATAGTTAGTAAGCAATTACTATTTTTGAGTAGCTACCCCAACACCGATAGCAGTATAAGAATTTAAAAAAATATCTTAGGAAAAAAATCTTGTCATGAAAAATCTTCCAGTCACCTATGATAGTATAATACACACAGGATGTCTAATAACATCATACAGTTAATTCTGAATCACATCTATTCACACATCTGATAATGTCCGGATATGATTTGATCATATTCCACTTATAACCGGCCACATGAAACTCTCTTAGATTGATCGAAATCTGGTTTCCATCACTGCTTCTTCTTTTTCTGTTACCTGGAAATCCATTCTCTTGCACTGACAGCGACTGAGTAACTAGCTTTCTAAGGCGAGTCAAACATCTGATCTGATGTGATCTTCCGTGGACTCATTTGTACACAGTGCTGACGTAATCTAGGAAGAGGAAAGATTATGTATGCGGTTTTGAAGAAACAGATACGTTTACACTCGGCTCTACTGCATCTCCAGTGCATCTCAAACCCCCTTCTGTAGTGTATGAGCAATCGCATACCAATCCGTCTCCATTGCATCTGTGGTTAAATTATAGTTGACTTTTTCACAATCAGCCTAAGACGCACAAAATGACTGAGTGAAGAGTTTCATTCTAAAATGCTGTATATCAGATTTGTAGCAATTTTGTGTATAATGAACTTTTAATAAGAATAACAGCTAAAGCCATACCTGTCAACTTGATCCTAACAGAAATATGGAGATGACAGAAAACGTGTAGAATTCAATTAAATCATTGAGCCAACCTGCCTCCC